CCAGAGTTTGCTAATAACTGATCTCAGTACTGTTAGGTAACCATAACAAATAAATGTACTGCTTGTCATAGAATGATAAAAAAAGCCTGACAGCTTCTTCACATTGCTACGGTACAAGCAGAGAAGGTGTGATTACAGTGAAAAAAAGGCATTTTTTTTTATTGAGGTTAAAGAAAAAAAAAGTCCTGTTACAAATCTTAGCAGGCAAATGTCTCTTTGTTGGCATAACCTGGTTTCAAGGAATGTTTCCATGAATGTTTTCATGAACAGTGGAAGCACTTTCACAAAAGCTTGTATTTAAAATAAAATACTATACAAACTGTACCTTGGCAAAGACAGTGAATATTTCTGCTAAGCCCCCATTACTAATCCTGAGGAACAAAATAAACGATTCAATAAATCAAAAGTTTGTACATGTGATAAGAAGTATTACTTCTATTCTTGCCATTACAACCTATATTTCCCTACATCCAACAACCAACAAATTTGATTTTTAAAATAAACTGATGAATAACACAGGGTACTTTACAACTCACAGCTAGAGAATGATGTCGTGCTCAATTTTTGAAAAGACCACTCCAGTAATGTGACAATCCCATTAGGATTTATTCTATAATTATGAAGCTTAGGGGCACAGATATTTCATTCCCTTTGACAGATAGTAATTTCTTGAAATGTCAGTTTTATAAACTCTTCAGAGTGGCCAATTTAAATAAAACCCATCGACAAGGATAGGGAAAGGGAAAGGGGTTAAGAATGTTATATCCATCTTGTGTACAGTCCTTGTAAAATTGTGCACTCACCATATTTTGCCTCCATTGAGGATGAAATGCTTCCCATCTTCACTAAGCTCTGCCTGTGTTCTTATTGACTAGGACAAGAAAAATTTCACCTCATTTACTAAGCATTCACAGTTTTCATGTTTCATGACCTGTTGGTCTCAGCTTTGCTTCATTGGAAAAAAAGGAATACAAACTCTCTTCAATGTATCACCAACTGATGAGCTTCGACAACCTCTACCTAACTTTTACAACACAAGGGAAAATGGTGTATACTCACTGATGACTGTCAAGTAAATAGAACACTAACAATTACAATAAATGGGAAGGTGTTGCAAAAGTTGAGGTATAAATTTCTATCTGCCCAATTCATACTATTCATTTCCCACATGTGAGTAATAATTTTTTGATGAGTGTTAAGAAGAAAGTACCCGACTGGCGTGTCATGCAATTAGCGCATGTGTGCTGAGACATTTAGATTTGACCAGTTTGTAAGCAAGTTACATGTACGATTTCTCGCATATGTGTTTTTTCAGATTTAGTTGCATTTTGGAGGTTTTTGTTGTTGAGTTTGTATTTTAAGCCGTTACCATATTACCATCTTTTTACCAATTAAATGTGCCTGCTTTTAAAGGAGATTTTTTTTATCGCTTCTGAACACATAGTTAACTTAAGTTACATTTGAAATCAAAGTCACACACATGTACAAGGTACACACCCCTGCATCTGATCCACTGCTTGGCTCAGTTAAACAAAATGCAGCCACTTTATCTGCAGTTGCAAGCTGTGAGAAAATAAACAAGGAAAAATCAAAATGATATCATGGTCAGTACTATTTAAAACATGAAAAAATCCTAAAAATGAGACCAATTTATCAGTGAAAATACAAGGCATTTGTGCATTTGTGCATTTGTGCAAATGGAAAGAACAACATCACCATTACTTACTGATGGTAAGTACTTTTCTTTTTGCTCCTAAGTGAAAAACAAGTATAAGAAAATCATAAAAAAGAAACACAGCCACAGCACAAGGCTAATTTGCCTAGATACATGCACATGTCATCGTTTACCAAACCAAAGCACATCAAGATGAGATCTAGGACATGACTGTGAAATCACATAACATTTTTAAGTAGTATATAATGTGTTGGAATGGTCAAATGATCAATACTGTGAAAAATTTCAGCATAATCCAGTGCATTTTACACACAATCAACACATTTTTAACACAGATTGCTGAGAAAATTCTTCACAATTTTCTTCATTTTTTTGCAAAATGCAACAATGCGGAAAAAAGACAAAGAAAAACACTGTCCTTGGATCAAATATAAGAGATCCTCACAGCAAAGAACACTACTGAACTACAGTACCACTCGCATATACGTTAACTAAAAAACGCGAATTAAACACACAAAAAATCGCATGCAATTGCAAATAAAAAAAAAATCATGTGCGTCAAAAAAAGTTGAAATAAGACCTGAAAAAATTTCAGGCCCGTATGGGATTTGAACCCATGACCTCTGCGATACTGGTGCAGCCCTCTACCAACTGAGCTAACAAGCCAACTGGGAGTTGGTCAATATGTTGGGTTCAAATAAACCATCCAAGTGATGAATAATGATATTAGATTTATGAAATTCATATATGTGCACTGCGGTGAAGAAACAAATATAAGAGATCCTCACAGCTAAGAACACTAGTGAACTAGTGGTTGAAATAAGACCTTGATATTACACCACATGTATTATACATGTGCATGTAGACTATACCTTGTTTCCATAGAGAAGAATTCCCTTAAATCCAATAGATTGATGAGCTCCAAGGGTAATTCCTACTGCCAGGTCGTGTGAACCAACAATCTCAACCAGGCGGGCATACTGAAACAGACATGCCAACAAGGGCAAGGAGATTAAAATTTGTACTTTCATAATTGAAAATTGTTTGGCTTTTTTTGGTTTACCAGATTGGAGGTGAAAAGGCAAAAACATTAGTAGAGAGAAAAAAATTGAATAATCTTTCCACTGATTATCAATGACTCCAATTTTGCAGGGACAACAAAAAAAACAAGAAGCTGGAAGGAACAGCTTACCTGCGTATTAGTAAGACCAAGGCCCCCCAAATCTGTGGATATCTGAAAATTTAAAAATTATGAATTTCTGTTCAGCACCACATACAAGCTTCTACATATAAAAGGTCAAGAATGCTGACAGTGGAAAACAGAAAAAAAATAATACAATAACCAAATTTATCAAATTTATTACCTGAAGTCCAAAAGCACCCATTTCTCTAAGGCCTTCAAAAGTGTCATCAGCGACTTTTTCAATCTCATCATTCTTTGCTGGGTCATTGCTCTCCTGAATAATAATTGAAAAATATGACAGTGGTGCAAGTGGACTCTTTAGATTATACTTCTGGAAAACTAATATGTGCACAGGTTGGTATATTTTATCTCTGGTCCCCAGGGGTGAAATTTTGACACATAATGACTATCAAGCCTAGGAAAATTGACTTTTTGAAAACAAGAAAATATCTAATTCCCCCCTCCCTTACACCCCTGAAACCTGGAGATCCATAGATAGGTGCATACAATAATAATAATAATAATAATAATGATAATAATGTCACCAGCTGTCAAAGGGCTGAAATGAAAACAGCTATAACCTATATATATTCACCTCAAAAAACTTGGCCACCGGATCAACATAAGCTTTCAATGTGCTTTCTTGTTCAGAGTCTAGAACTATAATAAAGCAAAATTAACCAGCTCACGTAAGACTAAAATATATAGAACACTGTGAAATATGAAGTGTTGTACTTTCAATTGTCAATTTTCATACTATAGTTATAATACAAAAATACCCACATAAAATGACCTCATCTCACCTTCTGGAAAAGGAAACACCTGCTGTACATCAAGTTGACCTTTAAATAAACCCATGACGAATGACTTTGACTGAGAAGCCTTAAAGGGCAGAGAGAATTATTAATCAGCCACTGTAATACATTATACACACATTTGTTTCAATTTAGTGGTGGGGAAACTGTAAAAGTTACATATACAACATGTAGGTACCTTGGTTACTCCTAACAAGCCACTGGGGATGCTATGTACTTCAAAAAAATCTAACTTCATTGAATATTCTATTTGCCCTGGGTACCCTTTTTCAGGTGAGGAGTCCTTTTTTTTTTTTTTTTAAAGCAGGGAAGATTACATGTAATATGAACACTGCTAGCAAACATACACACACATACCTTGACATCTGTAGCATAATCATTCCTTCTATATTTTGAACTTAAAACTGCCACTCTGTTCAAACATGAAATAACACAATCATAAACTGAAAAAGTCACATACTGAAGAACACTATTTAACAAAAATACCAGGGAAAACCAAAAAAATCCAAATGACTTGAAATATGACAAACTGAGAAATCTTGCCTCCAAGTTCACTTGTACACTGAGAAAACTTCACGACCTTGCAGTGACATGCTTTAACTCATCTGTGATAGTTTTGAGTGAAGTAATACCCATAGCTAAACCCAAGATCTGATTATAAATTCTCCCTTCTAGCTACTACACATTTCCTTCTAAATTAGTTCAGAGAATTTGGTGTTAGATCAAGATAACAACATCTACCTGATAAGTTTGAATATTCTCATCACCTGGTTTCTGAACAATGTAGGGATATTGCAGGGAGAAGTTAATTGTTAATCACTTCGGGAAGTTTAAGGATTAAGTAAATCAACAGTTGTGGAAAGGGGTTGAAAACCAACCACACAACTTGACTTGCATTTTGGATACTTGGAAAAATAAAGCAATTAAAATTGAGCACCTTTTAATTCGTTTCAAACATGTAATTTAATTACAACTAATTCTGCTAAAATTCACTTAGACTTGTTTTTGAGCATCCTTTTATCATTATTCCCAAACAATAATAATATTTCCTATTACTAATAAATGAAAATCAAAACCTAACCAGTTAGAAGTCAATCGATTCCTGATCAGTTCGAAACCATCAAGATTTCACATTAAATTGAGAAGAAACCTACTGGAACTAGAGTACTGGTCATTGTCTATTGAAACTTGACCTTCAGGGCTTTCAAAGAGAAAACCCGATTCGCTGTAATTTTAATTGCTCGTTGTCATAGTTTATCTTGGTCTTCTTTCAATTTCTATTTGAAGAAGTCCTAACGCCAATCTCGCAACAGCTCGGAAACGAAACATCACGCACTAACCTCGACCGATTGGATTTGATTTCTTCGACAAGTACAGACACACTTCCCTTTGAATCGAACGTAGGGACAGAAAAACGATCATTCGATTTAAAGCCTCTTATCCCAAGTTATTTTCTGAACATCTCATACTCAAGCCATAAACGAAAGGAAGCCGGCGATCTTTAGCTTATGTAACAAGAACTCTATTGAAGAACACCAAGTGAAGTTACGATTCCTTACCGACTGACATCGAGAAAACTTTGGCTTGTTCTTGTTTTAGGTAAGTAAGCAAGACCCTGGGAAAAACTGCGGCATCCACAACGTAGCATTATTGTAGAAATACCGGTGTGAAGTCTCCCTTTCCACCTCTGAACAGCGTCTACGAGAACTTCACTAAATTACTTAGCAATTTTCGCAATGTTAAGCAACGTAACAATCGAGCGAGAGGCTGCTAAGCCGTTTCAAAGTCCATCATATATTTGACTGATTGACGTCGATCGAGTCACTGGTTTTCCGCTCCAGTGGCAATGTTTTTGTACTTTTCTTTCCTCTTTTTTTATTCGTATCTCACTGAAAATCGACATATCAACAAATTCCCACCAATTATAGAAAGGAAGGCAAAAGGAAAACGGGTATATTTTTTCGTTACCAGTCTTCAAGCATATTTTTAATTAAACTTTCTTGAGTCTAGTGCCAGGGTTCCCTCGGTCAGCGTTCCGAAGAACATCACCCAAACATACAGAAGCCTACAGAAGCCAACAATGGGCAATTTTGCGCGATTTCTGGATTTCACGAAGAATCTTGTACTACAAATTATTTTGGGGTTTCAAAAAACGTTATTTTTGGATCCAATGATCATGATTTACACAGAATTTGTAATTGTGTTTAGATTTTTTTGAACTTTTCAAAAATTGATTTATACGAACAATTTTAGTGATCAACAATATCTTAAGAAAAATTGTGCATAACTTTATTAGAGGAAATGTAAGTGAGGATTCAAACCTCACATCAGTCAATCTCACTATAATGTACTCAACAACTGGAGTGTAAAAAGTTTGGATGACCTTCCTTGAGGATTCAAAATTCAGATCTAAGCTGGGTGCAAGGAAAACAAATATAGTGTTAGCTTGATCAACTTTCTTGAGGATTTAAACCTCATCGGACTTTCTCATTTGAATTTCAAATGCTCTGCCAGCTGAGCCCAGTGAAACTTTCTGAGCTGACCACAGTGAGGATTCAAACCTTAAATCTTTAACTTTACAATTTTTTATTTTTATTTTTTAAATTTTTTTTTGAGCTGAAAGCAACAGGAGCAAGAACATCTGATGATCATCTGGCCCTATTTGATGATGCCGAACACAGCTAGTTTGTAAGCAGACGGTGCAGAATATTCTTGGCTTTTTTATACTTCTGCTCTTGTAAAAGATTTTAGATTAACGAAAAGGAATAAATGAGATAAAAATAATGATGGCAAAAATGGCAAACATCGAGCAAAACCGTTTTATTTTAGAACACTAATATTTTTTTCCGCCAAAGGCAACATCCAAACCCCTTAATTTCTCACCGTTTTGTCGCCAAGTTTTCAGATTAACAATGAAACGCCGGAAATTAGTGGAATTTTGTTGCAGTTACTTATCCAGCCTATATAATTTAAACGCACTATTGATAATCTACGTTCGTAGTCAAGCGCTATCTTCCAAACAGGATTGCCATCTTGTCCATGCTCAAAAAAGTCACTCCCTAGGATTTATTTCCATGCAGTTTTGGGCTGGAGTGAAACAGTTTTTAGCATAGAATTTCCTGCATCAAGAATAGGTAAGAAATGGTTCAATGGCTTCAAATGATGCAAGACTGAGAATGTCCACAGCCTTTGATTGCAGACAGAATTCTATAGAACACGCCCGCAATTTTTTTTATTATCACTAATACTTTTCTTTCTTGATAATTCATTACCTTTTTTTTTCTTTCTTGGTATTCTCTCTTGGTATTCAAATTTAGTGGTCCGCCGCTAGAGCGCTGAAGACGGTGAGCCAACATCAAAATCTCGGCATCAATGGAAGTATGTTACACTTGCGTCTTCAAAAACAATAACGTAGAGATATCGTAGAAGATGTAGATACATATCAATCGTGCCGTCTAAATATTGAACGAAGACGCATACAGCGACATTATCAATTTTTGTAATAGTTCAACTGCGCTCCGTGCGTGAGACTAAGCTGTCCTTCGAGGAGTACATTGGGTTAACTGTGATCTGCAATAACAGATTGAGGGACTGAGAAAGGTACGAGGTTTGGTCAAAGTAGCCAAACAGGCCCGTTTAAAAAACAGGAAATGACAGATTTCCGATCGTATAACTACGGAGAAGTATTAAGTATGTTTCAATGTGTTGACATCATGAGAACTGATGTATCCTTCCAAGTTTTTTTTTTATCCGCCACACTTGACACGTTCGGCTCACTTGTAATTAATCAATCCACACATGTAGTTTTGAATTGATTAGTTTATGTATGATGTAGATTGCAACAACAATCCTGGCAGTTAGAGCGATATGATGGATCTTTTTATCTTAACTCAATTTTTTTTACGTCTTTTCCATATTGAAATTGTAAGAAGGAATAATGTTCATCCAAATATAACAATGTCAGGACCTGTTTCCTGGGTCACACGGCTTGTAGATCGCTGTAAAGCGGCCTAAAAAGGACGATCTGCAATAATGCTATGTCCGTAAACAGGAGACTGTGAGAGATAAATACGTCAACACCTGTTGAGTATATTTCCCGTATAACTTCAGTTTGATCACGTCTAAGGCACGTATAACTTGTAATAAGGCGCTTTTTTGGGGGTTAAAGTTCGAAACCAGCGGCCACATCCGTCAGCTTTGTTTTTAAGAAAATAAAAATCAAAAAGTATAAAACCATGCACGTGAAGGTTTAAGAAGAGTGAATAAATAAGAAGAGAACATGCTTATAGGAATCGCTAGAAAATATTCTGAGCTGAGGAATACCAGGAGCCCATCTGCCCACCAGTGATGGGCCTGCAAAATAGTTATTGACTGAGAGGTAAGGCCAAACGGGAAAACGCTTGGCTTGAGGTCATGACGTAGTCATATATTGGAACAATTCCCAAATGACTTGAGCCATGATATGCTTAAATACATGCAATACTGTCCCACCAGAGCCGTTACTGACCATTGCTACCTGAATTGATTTGCGATTTGTTTATTCCACGCACACAGGAAGGGGCTAAATGATAGTTCAGAGCGAAAAAAGTTGCAGATTGGGAACGCATTCTTGCGCGACCTGTCTCATTCTTGATTATTCGCTCTGCGTCCTATTTGTGAATTGAACTTCCGGAAAGTGGTCAGCTCTGCAATGTGTTTAGGCTCCCTGTCGATCTTGTTTAACGGCAAGTCTGTCGCCAAACCGCCAAAGAGTACCAACCATGACTAGCATGGCAGGCGGTGAAATGGAAAAGTGAAGGAATTCGGGGTGTGAGTGAAAAGACCATCTGAAAGAATACAAAAAAATAAATTGTACAAATACGTGGAGTTCATCTATTTAGTGTTGAAATATAACTTAAGATATTGGATATGTTTTCGAGAAAACGTTCTTGAATTAATGTTGTTAATCGTTAATCTTTCGAATGACCAGGTCTACGTGTGCCCCTACGATATCAGTTTTCTCGTCTGGCGGAGACTTACGCAGGTTGAGACTTACATGAACCTGGAAAATTTATAGATTGAGTGGCTCGAATAAACCTGGTATAATAGATGGGTCAGTCGGATGAGAACCATGAGGTAAGTTTTAACAATTTTCAACAACGACAATGAGGGGCATAACAAGCCCACTAGTGAGGATGTCTGGCACGAATGGCAATCTGTATTTACTGACGTACTGCTCTGTGAAGGCTCTACATCTAGAGTCAATCAGTTTTTTTAGATGTGGACAGCAAAACACCTTTTCTAGGTTAGCTTCAATTCATATGGCAAAATTACAGTCACGAATCACTTTTAAAATTTGTGGATAATGCTTGATGATAAAAGCCACCACGGAGCCAAATAGCCGATATAATAAGCATCAAAATATATACGTGTAGGTCCCTTGTTCTGTAGGCTCTAACTTCTAAAACCGAGCCAATAAAACACCCAGCTGTCAAAGTGGATCCCTTTTGCTCTATTAATTCTAATCTGTTGAGCCCATTCGCTGCCGAACCACAGAAGTTTATCTTTTTCTTTCTACACTCAATTTATCTTCTCATTCCTTCAGTTTAGAGGGAGGCTCTTTGTTCATGTATAAACTCAATCCTTTTATTTCAGAATTCTTTCCAAATTTTACGTTCAGCCTGGGACATTAGTCGTTTCACTGAAGAGTTACTGAGACACTTCACTAACTTCTTTCAAGAATTTCCTTGTGTGTTGTTCGTAGTTAAAAGACCCTTTTAGGTCTTTGGACAAATTTTCGCGGGTTTTCTGAGCCGTTCAGCCCGGTTTTATCTTATCTTGGTTTTGCCCTCCATATGAACTAAAACCATGCTAAACGACATTAAATCAACCTAGAAAACTCACTCATTCCTTTATGATATTTTGCCCCATAAGTAACATAAAAATCAGTTGCATATTAACAATCTCATTTTGCGATCTTGGGCTACCTGTGGACCCAGCATGTCGCAGATAACACAACTTTTCTACTCCTCAACCCCCTCCTCCCCACCCACCCACTCCTCCCCCTCCCAGGCTCACTGCTTTCTTCCTTTTCCCTCACATGACTGGGGGATAAGCTAACTCAAATTAAAACACTGTTGTTTTAATTAATAACCAATGTGCATCAAGAAAACCGTAATAAAGTCCTATAAATATATTTTAAATAAAATGATGTGAAGAGCTAATTTGTGTTTAACAGCTGCGTGTATCCCAAGCTGAGACACAGATGTAACAAATGCAAACACTCAGACGTTGTGCAGATCACCTGATTGCGTTAGTTCCACTAATAAGTGGCTGATGTTTCTATTCTTAGCTGGCAATGACTGATTTATTTCACCATATCTTTTAAAGGTTTCCAAAAATATATTTATAGCAATCTTAAAAAAAAAATTAAAGATACTTAGTTTGTCATAAATTATTATAATTTCGTGATTATCTCTCATTTCTTTGTCTGTAATTTTTTTTTGCCACTGAAAGCGTTTTTTATTTTTCTTCATATCTACGGTCTTCAGATTAACGCTGTCTAGATCAGATTCGTACTGCAATTAATATGGGACAAAACTTTGCGCGATTCACGAAATTCAGAATTTCACTATTTAGCTGTTGAGTTACCATTAGGAAAGCTGTTTCTTTAAGTATTCAAATGCTTGGTCGAAATTTCCAGAAAATTCGTCATTAGGACTAGAATTGCCTACAGATATATTCTAATGAGATCATAATTGAGGCAGAGGACAAATGATTTGTGGAATTTTGTACATCTCAGGCGAATGTGAGTATTAGATAAATCCTCCTTTAATTAAAAACGGAATTATAGGCTCAACGTGAAACAGATTCAGACAATATATAGAACAGCTTTTGTTGGGTTTACATTCAGCGCAGAAAAATCTTCGATAATTCGGTTTTCTTTTCCCCCTGAGGAGTAATTTCCTCAGATGTAAAAAAACTGTTGAAAGTCTCGAGAAACATATAATGAAATACATAGGAAATAACTGCCTGTTTGTCGGTGTAAGGGATCCAATCATGTCTGTTTTCCTCAGCAAGGGACTTCAACCGCGTTGACCAACTGCAGTTCATGATTCGCTTCACCTGTTTTTTTGAATGGGAATATAAAATGCGTCACAAGCAATTTTTTTTAACGACACAACCGTTTAAAAATTTGATCTACAGTCCTGTCGCTGGCTAATATGTTTATTCTGTCATTCAGATCTACATTCCCAATGCCATCCTGCACTACTAGAGAAGAATTTCTTCAAAAGGTAATTGAGCTTTCTGCAAACAGTTAATCTTCCTCAATTCAAGATATCACTCATATAGAGGTGAGTTGAATCAGAGATCTTTGATTTCATAATCTTTTTATTTTTTTAGGCTGTTAGCCTTTTCCATTTCTAGCTGCGATTAGCTTTAGGAACGTTGTTTTGTCTCAAACACATTTAATTTGCATTTTAAGGTTAGATTGCACACGATACATGTACAGCCATCAACTCACCGAAAATGCCACAAATTCAAAAATTAAGTAGCAACTTTAAGTGTTAATTTTTCATCATTCTTACTGAGTATAAAAAAAAAAGAAAAAAAAAAAAAAACCAAGAGGAAAAATCGATGAGAGAAAAGAAACGCTTAGTTTGCGGTGATTTCAAGTACTCTGAAGAGTCGTCTTTTGTTCTTCGGCTCTTCGTTTTGTATGAATATTCTAGTTAGTATTCTGTATAAAATTTATTTTGAAACAAAATAGCATTAAGTATTAAGCCATAAAATCCACCGATGAGGTATCAATAAGCTAGCGCTCGTCGAGATTAGCGAAAAGCTTGAACGAACACAAACTTTCATGTCAATTTCAAGGGGATATACAAAGGGTGCATTTGATGATTGTTATCTTTCCATGATAAAAACATTCAGTAAAGAAGGTATTTTGGTTATCATCATTTACATATTTTTTTCATCTGCAGTTCAGGGAAAAAAATGGTAAAAAGTTTTCTCTTGAAAGTAAACATAGAGACAAATTAATGGCTTGCCCAGGAACAATTGACTTGATCTAATTTTTTTTAGATTCATTTTAAAATTCGTATTACTGTTTCATATTAGTCGTGCTGAGGATGCTAGTGAGTCATTATTAATTCAAGTTGTGGTGAGCCGCATGCTGTTATTCTTGTGAAACTTTTCTTAAATGCAAGATGTTAGAAAATAAACCACGACAAATATCTTTTAATAAGTACAATTTAATTTTGAATCCAGGCAGAAAGGTGAATTCTGAATATTCACGACATAAAAAAAAATGCAATAGTAACAAAAGTAAATTTTTTGTCATAACTATAGGTCTGAATTCAGTTTGAAGTGGGGTGCAATTTTTTTTCGTTATGTAACACTTGCAGTTTTATTCCGACTGATGAAAGCTAAAAATGAGTGCCTACAAACTCTTTAACGGAAACAAAAGCATGATTTTGACTCAACTAGGAGTTTTGGTTTAGAACCAAAGGGAGTGTGGATGGTGCGGGTAAATTTTAGGATAATTATACAGAGAAAAGGGGCAGGGGATATCCAGACCAAATAAGGAGAAAGGGTTGTTGGAGGCTATTTTAAGATAGTCTCATCATTGCCATCATCGAAGGCAAAAAAACCATCAAATAAAGAAGCGAAGCAGACAACAACAACAACAACAACAACAACAACAACATAAGCAACAACCAAAAACGACGACTTCTTTAAATGAAAAGTTTTTAAAAATGCATGAAGTGCTTAAATATTACCTAAACACTCAGCGAATCTTTGGGTGTTGAATACTATCTCACCTCGCGACTGCTCGGGAATAAAAACACTTAATGAGCTGGCTTGTCTTCTTTCCGACTCATATTCACTCAGCTCTTATGCTGTGGAAATAGGCGCCAGTTTCATTCATCAGGGGAAGACTGCCATTGAAAGGATAAACTTTTTATTCCCAAATAAAATTCATATTTAAAGAGAAGTTTTGGCTAAAAAAGTCTCTAGATTCGCAAGTAATCGAAATGTTCGAAATTTGACTTTCAAATGCAAGGAAATACGAAAGGAAGAAAGAGAAAAATGGCCATAGTGCCACCCTAATAATAGCAATGTTGGTAACAATTTTTTTAAAGGTATACCTTACTCTTTCAATGTACGTGTATTTAATAGCAATAATGCACATTGACATGCTATATGTTTTATATTAAAATAAAGATGAATAATTATAACAATCACTAAAAATATTTACAAAAATAATGATAAAATCCTTAAAAAATCGAAAAATACTTTAACTTTCACTAAAAATATTTACAAAAATAATGATAAAATCCTTAAAAAATCGAAAAATACTTTAACTTGTCAAATAAAAATATTAACAATAATGATACTGATGATGATAATAATAATAACAATAAGGGGAAAAAGGTAAAATGCTGCGTAGATCCACGAGTGACTTATTTTTAAATTAAAATTTCGTCTCTAATATAAAAAAATCATACAAACAATTATAATATCATATCATCGATTATAGTATCATAATGATGGCAATAATTGTAAAGATAATAATTATGACTTAACAATAGTAATAGTATTTATAACAATAATAATTACAATGATGATGATGATAACAATGATAATAATAATAATAATAATAATAATAATAATAATAATGGGTGAGAGAAGAATGATATGGTCTCTTGAACACAATTGGCTTTTGAACAGCGTGCCTGTACTCGCTGCCTACGCCACTAGATAAAAGAAAACTACCATCAAAGATGCATTTTTTTCTGGAACGCTTATTCTTACCACTTCTAAAATGTTTCATGTTTCACTTAAGGAGAGAGAAATATTCTTTCCGTAACAAGCAACAAATTGGAGCTCAGAATAAACCTTACAGGATACTTCCATTTCGGGAAGTAATTTTTCCTAAAAAGTTTTAGCGCACCCAAGCAACGCAACTTTTTGTTTGTAAACGCGAATGTCAGTATGCCTAATAAAATTAATTCTTATTCAAATAAAGATATAGCAAGGCTAAGGTTTTGTGTGAACAAAGCAAGAAAAAAACCATGGGTTGAGTTTGATTGCACGGAACATTGTACCAGTTTATTTCATTGACACATAGTTTCTCATAGTGCGTTTGAAAAGTCCTTCTAAGAGTTTGATAGGTACTACGATAAAGACTCAGATAATTTTAAATAGACAATATATTTTCAGTCGCTTAAATTGAATACATTTCCCAAAAACTTAGAGATGTTTTGGTCGTGTTTACTTTGTAAAATAAATACGAGAAAATACAGTTGTTATTAAAAAAAATTATAGTCATTTCTTTGTAATTGATTTGTTGAACAACTGACGAAATTAAGACGCCTAGCTTTTTCTACAGACATACACCTAGTATATTTTGAGTTATTTCCTAAGCATGAAGTGAAAACACAACATTATGGTGTTCGACTCCCGAAAATATCGGAAGGATAGTTACAATTAACGAATTAATTAGCATTTACATTACCGACCGTAATAATACCGGGGAAGCAGAATCGACAGATTGAATTTGTTCATATAAAATCTATCTTCACATATTCTAAAGACATTTTGCATTAAAAATAAAATTCAGACAGAAATAGAAGCAATTCATTTGAAAACCTAAATACAGAAGCAATATAGAGAAATTAGAAACCAATGCGGCGAATTCATCTCAAGAACCAATACTGTAAGCTTTTAGCAATTGAAGGAACCTGTCATTAGTTAAATGAATTAAAATTCGAAATGGACATCTCCATCATTGACATAAGAGCAGAAGGTTGACTGCATTGTTAATTACACCGTGAGTGCCAAGTCGCTTTTTATTTTTTATAGTAGAGCACTTCCACGTCGAAGCTTTCGCCGTCTGAATCGCGAACGCAACGTCAAATAAACCAAATCTGAAGGCCATACCTGAGCCAGGAGAATTGATCTCGAACGGTTAGTATATAATGACTATTGTTAAATTTATATAGGTTGCGAAAAAGTTATTTTTTTTTGGACAAACATTTCGAAGGAAATAGGAAAGAAAAATAGAAAAAGCGAGGACAATGGGTCTGTAACATTTCACTTAACTCTTTTTCATATTTATATCTTGCAACAGTGATCAATCTAGCATTATACAGAAACACTTGAGGTGATGCTGATTTTAAATCTGTACTTCAAGGGACTACTTTTCACGCGCCTTTATCCTTTCATCAACGACAGCAGAGTGATACGTTACGCAATTTTTGAAGCCAAAATAATATCATAAAAAAACAAAATCTAGGCAACAAGATTGCTCATTTTTTTCAAAACAATTGCAAATTCTTTTAACAAATTTTTTCAGAGAAATGTTGCGTTAAAAATCACCAATGTCGATTTTTAGGGCGACAATGTGTGGTTGAAAATCGGCTCTAGAAATAATTCATTACTCTCAAAGGTACCGGCAATTTACTTGCGTTTGTATTGAGTGCACAATTTGTCTGATGGTTTGTATTTGAGACCCCTAGGCTTGCTTCCATCAGACCCCAGGAGCGGCGGTAGAAATAATTAGTAGACAGAAGTCAAAGTCAGGCAAAGAAAAATGAATCGGCTTTTACTAATTTGTTCTGCTGACATTCGATGTTTCATTTCAAATCGCTCTCGTACATGACTTGACAATCTCGAAGAGACTGCTTAATATAGCAACTTTAGGTCTCTTTTATTGCTAACGAACTGACCTGATTTTCAACGTTATCTCACCGCCGGTTAATATTAGAAAGCGGAATGGTATCTGATTATACATTGATTTTCATACCAGTGGAAGAGCGGTTTAGGAAAGAGAACTCTATGTTCAAGGGCCTTTCAATTAAAAAGTGAAGTTAAGGCCACGAAGAGATTTAAAAGAAACAGAAGAGGCTAAAACTTTGCAGCAAATTTCCATTAGTTTCCTTCGGAACAAAATTGTAAAATATATGTAATTCAATGGGAGGTAAAAAGAGTTTTAAAGGCATTAGTCTCGGAAAAATGTAAATGAAATAAACCGAAGATTCAATGTTTTTCCTTTTCGTTTTGTTATTGAAGGTAACGAAAGAGACCCTGTATTTGATTATAATGTTTGACAAAGGATAGTTTAAAATTTATTGATGAATAGTTCATTTGATGGACAATGATTATTTTACAGTTCAACGCAACCGCCCCAAAAGCTGACAATAAGCAAAGTATGTCGTTGAGTGCATCAAGGAGTCTTGTTAATCTGCTACGTGAATTAATCGATGAACTGAAATGTTATTGTTATTTATTTTTCGTGATATATATAATTAAATTTAATCTAACACTCCAGTGTAATCCTTCCAATAGCTTGACCTCTTGATTGGCAAAGGTGAAGTGTCCGGCATGCACTGGGGGCTTTAATGAACGTTGAGCTTTACAACGCTTGTGTAGATGTACAACTATGTTATGTAACTAGATACAAAAGTTGCGCTTGGTTAGCTCACGTTGTGCGGGATGTCGCGTGTTCAAGCCCCAGACAGAACTCAGGGTCTTAAAGTAACTGAAAACAACGGTAAATGGTTATAAATTCTAGTCTTCTCGGATAAAAACGATAAGCCGTCTCCTGCCTCTTCTCTGTACTGGTTAGGTCCCGGTGTTGTGGCCTGGCCGTGTCATTGTTTACAAAGGCCCCCATTTAAACAACCTCTGAGCGGCCAGCCTGTCTAAATATCGCAAACACATACACTTACAAATAACAGGTTACGAGGTGGGTAAGGATAATTATGTCATCCAAAATGACCTACATCTAGCATTTCACTAAAATAAATGATGTTAATTATGTGTGACCTTAATGAAATCAACAATTCACTTGAAAATTTAATTAGCTCTCCCCATGAATGATGAGAAACGGCAATTGAAAACAGAACTTTTTAGAAATCCTGCTAATGATGTCGTCATATCTCCAAATCTTAGCTGTTCTTTTGCCTTGGGTTCACTTCATGGCAGTTAAAAAGTATTATTTGTAGAACTGTCAACGGCGCTGTTTCGTATGTTCTATAACATCAAGGATTTTTGTACATTTTGTGCTGTTTGCCAATCATTAAAAGTAAACTGTCTTCGTAAAGTTAACCTCCATACAAGGATAGGACGCATGAAATCGAGGTTTGATGTCAAAAAAACGACTTTGGACTTTTAGTGGTATAAATCCACTCTGTTTCCTTAAATTCTATTCGTTTATTGCAAATATTATATTTCCTAGTGCGGAAAAAAAGGATAAATGATAATAAAATTCTAATAAAATTAATGAAAGAAAGGTAAAAAAAAAAATGATGAGAGCGTGATCATGACTTTGAAAGGCGAGGGATGGAAAATGATTATCAAAATATGGTGAGGAGTTATAAGAAATCAAGAGTTTGTATCGAGTTTGTAACTTGAAAATAATCTTTCTATATAATGAAATGAGACAATGTTTAAATTCGGAAAGGAAGTTTTTAAAGAAAAGGGTTGTCAACAAAAACCTTTTTATTACCAAATTAACTGCGTTCATCTGAAATGATTAGATAAAAACAAAGAACCTGTCTGTTTGCAGCACGACATTTTCGCATCACAAAGGTAGCAGTTCCTCTGTCATCTTGAAGAGAAATATGATGAAATTGATCATAATGATCAAATGAAATGAATGAAAAAGAAAGCTTGTTAGACGCTTTAAATTTGCGCCAAGCTTGAAACCTTATCAACAATGCATGGTATAACCTCATTTCGTCTTGTTCAATTTAAGTTATTCGTGAAATAATAAAAAAAAAGTCAACAAGTGCCTTTTTTCTAGTGACTCTTGACACTTGGAAACTAAGACACTGTAACAAATTGGGATGGATGAACTCAAAAACTGCATTTATATTTTGATGGTAACAACATTTCATTCATTTTATGGAAAGTTATATCAAAAGAAACAAATCATGAAGTTGTCCAAATAATTCTTTGTACAGTCTAAGCCATGCAACAGTCTCTTTGACGATCAAAACATTACATTTTATCGCGAGGAAATCGGAAGAAGCGAAAAATTGAAATAGATATTTCTTGGTCATCGACTTTATTGAGTTTTTATTGAGTTTTTGATAATATGATTTCTCGTAAGAAAAAAAGAAAATTCTTTCAGTTAACTCTCTCTGTTGCGGACGAAAGATTATTGATTTTGGACGCAGAGAATTTCGAAAAGTTGTACTCTGATTCTGTAAAAGTTTTACCAATGAACAATACCATTGACTGCTCTTACGGTTTTTATGTCTCTTTTCGGATATGCAAATGATTTTCTAAACTCTTCTTTTTTTCTGTCAATGGTTCTGGACTTCTTATACTTTTTTTTGACGCTTTCACTAATTAGAATGATTTATTAATTCCCTGCAGAGTTGGCAAGGTTGTTTACACACGTAGTATTTCCTCTTTAGACAAATCGATTGTGGGCAAGGTTCCAGTCTGTCGGCGAGAAACCGACTTTACTTTATATGGGTAAATCTACAAATTTTAATTTTCATTACCGCTGCAAAATAGATGAAAGACCCTTCTCCGCTTCCCACATGGAAGTGAAGCCTTTCCATTCGCTTCAGGTCCTTCAGGGACGTTATTGAAAGGGTCAACTCCTGCATGTGCAATTTTGCAGAGTACGGATATTCGAAGGTAATTATGACTGTTAAAGGATATTACCTTTGAGATAAAATCAATATTTTGGACGTTAGGTTTCCAGAATCGACAACTCAGTAGTGTTTCAACCACTAGGAAAAGAGAGATCTCAATCTTTCTTGAGAGGGGCAAAGTTTAAATTTTGCTATCCATATTGCTTTTATGAAAGTATTCTTGAATTTGCTTGCCGAAAGTCCTTGCCCGAAGGCCTTAGCAAAACTGACATGTAATTTTATACCTACATGTGATTTCATACCTTCTTTCCATTTTCATCGATCATTCGGCATGAAACTTCAAAAATATGGACGAAAAAGATTTAGTAAAAAAAAGAAACAAGGATGATCGCAGAGGAAGAGAAAGACTTATGGCTCTCACTAATTCTCCTAATTAATATTCAATTCACGTAGTTTGTCTTCTGCTCCAGGTACTCTTGTCATGATGCTGTCCACATCTGCTCTAGATACTTTAAATTGAAATTTTTTCACGAAATGTTTTAAGCACTTGATTGAGATACTTTGCATCATGTTGTTTTTTTTTTCCAAGATTAAGGGGTTTCCTTTTAAAATCATCGACACAATTTGCCATATGAGCGAGGTGACATGTTTTTGAATGAGAGCAGGCTTTTAGCTCAATCGCTTTACGAAAAATTGACAATTCTGATCACTTAAGGTGAGAGCAATATTGGTTTGTGTTTGCAAAGAGTCAACAGTCAATTTATTATTCTAAATTATTGCCTCGCGGAGTTGGAAAAGATGTATGATTGACGTAGGGATCGCATGAATCTATGAAATATAATTTCGTCGGTAAAATCTAAATTATATTTGTGTCACTATCTCGATGAAATTAAGAGAAAAATGTTTTCAAAATAAAATTGCACGATATTCATTTGGATTCTGTAAGTTGTTATGATTGTCTTTGTTAAGTGCACAAATAAGCTAGTTGGTGGCAAGTATCTCGATTAAAACAAGTGAATCAAGTACCTTTAGTGTGCCGGCGCAGCGGCTAGTTACTGAACCAGATGTCGAAGAAGCAAGGCAAAAAGTTTGGGAAAATGAGAAGAAAATGTAAATAGAAGAAAGAAACAAAAATAAAACCAAACTAAGAATCATAAAGGAAATAAAAAAGCAAAAACAAACAACTACAGGAAACATAACAGAAAACAGAAATTTAGGGAGTTACATCGTGGTGTTATATACCACTCCTTGAAACAAAGGACTTTAAAGAAAGGTACCCCACAAACATCACGAGAGTGAACAATTGCTTGATTCTAGTAATCTTGATTACTTCGATTGTTTGCTGCTTCGCTAAAGGGATGCTTTTAATTCGCAAGCTATTCCTGAATTTGAACGTGCTGACTAACACATTACCAAGGGTCTTTGTTTGACGCCATATGTTAGTTCATCCAACTCTGTTTGGTCTTGTCGCTATCTTAGAGTAATCATCATTCTCTTGGTAAACCAAATTGTTTTTTATTTTTACTCTTATTTTTTTTACCAATTTAGTTTGTCTTACTTTATATGTTCACGTCCTTTTAAACATTCAAAACTACCTCAGCCTAAATAGGCAAAGGGAGATGTTAATCATGAACGTAATTATGGACCTAGTAATTGGACTTACTAAGTGGGGAATGCGAAGGTCTGGCATCGATTACTTGCGAGAGACTCTTTTTTTTTTTCTTTGTCCCACGCTCGCGACAATAGGAATAACAGTTTTCTTCATACTTCCAGCTTTTCGCAAAACCTTGTCATATCAAAAAGGGGTAAGACTGGAAAATCAAACGGAGACAAGTATGACTCTAGATGGAGATCATGAGAAAAATTATGCTTAAGTTGTTCAGCCGCATAATCCAACTCTTACTACTTTATGAGTTTACATCGAGAATATTTAGCGGCGGCCGAGTTTGTTTTACGTTTATAACTGCTGCTTTGTTTTTACCTCTACAGCTCTAGCGACAACGAGTGAAGACCGAAGAAGCTACTCTTTGGGATTCACTGAAACCGGTTAACCTTCGTTTACGAAACTCCGCATTTTGGAATACCATTGAGGACCAGCAATGGGGACGAGATGGAACAATTCTTTGGCTGAGAAAGAAATGACAATGACAAACTTATCAACATCCAAAGGCCCTCATAATATTGAGGTAACTCAAGCGCCCAACTCGATGTCCTCTGAACTGAGAATAATAACTCTCACGCTCTATGCGGTTATATTTCTTGTAAGTGCAGTGGGAAATTCTTTAGTTTGCACGGTGATTTTACGACGGAAAAAGATGAAAACTGTGACGAACTATTTCGTATTAAATCTGGCGATTGCAGACTTGACTTTCACTTGCATTTGTATTCCTTTTGACATTCCTGTACAAGAAATGAACTACCGATGGCCCTACGGAGCATTTCTTTGTAAACTGTTATATCCCCTTCAAACACTCACACTATTTGCGTCTGTTTACACACTGACAGCCGTCAGTTTGTCGCGATTCTGGGCAATAAACCACCCTCTCCGTCGACAGCTTTCGACCAGAAGCGCGAAATTCATAATTGTGGGAATATGGATTGCGTCCCTCGTAGCTGTCACGCCATACATCAGTGTTTCCGAGAAAAACGGTGAGTCCGGAAAATGTGATGAGGAATGGCCGAGCAAAAGCGCACGAAAAACGTACACGGTTACGCTGTTTGTGTTTGAATATATATTTCCGCTGACAGTAATTGCAGGCGCGTACATAAGCATTGGCCGAGAGCTTGCCCGTCGCGCTAGGAACGGTAACCGTTACTTGCAAGACCTCCAATCCGAGGAGGCGAAGAAAGTTGTGCGCATGCTCAAGATAGTAACCCTTATGTTTGCTGTATGTGTTTTGCCAAATAATATTCTGTGGTTGTGGTTGGACTTTGGCGGAGCAGATGAAAAATACGACAGATTCTGGGATTTAGTGGCGCTTGGTAACATAATAACGTTTGCAAACAGCGCGGCTAACCCAATTTGCTACACGATTCTGAATGAAAGCTACCGCAATGAGTTCAAGGATCACCTCATGAAGATGTTCAACAAGATCATAGGAAAGCCATCTGGAGGACGAAGGGAACTTCTGCGAATGAATGATAACGGTGATAGTCAACGAAAGTTACGAACTGCTACAATGAGTTCCGCTTTCTAACAAGAAATGACACTTTTATACCGATGGAGTCCAGGCACAGCTTTTGTATCGTATTTTCAAAATTAAAATTAAAACCTTTATTTGTAACCCGTTTCACTCTCCTTCATACTTATCCACATTTGTGCTCGTATACGTCCGATCAAGTGACAAACACACCAAAAATAAAGTGGTTTTTAAGTAAGAGGTGTAAGTTTCTAAAGAAACTGTGGTGCTGCGTCGTTGGGAAGGTAAAACAGGTGTTAACAATTGAGTTGAAAACGTAACTTGGCCACCGTAAAGAGTAAAAAGGCTGACGTTTCGAGCATTAGCCCTGCGCCAATCGCTCTGACGAAGGGCTAACGCTCGAAACTTCAGTCTTTTAACTCTTTTGGGTGGCCAATTTACGTTTTCAACTCAGTTGTTAATACCAAAATACCTGATTTTTACGTAGCTGAATTGTGACATTAATCAGCGACGCCTTAAGAGGACACGGAAAGCTAAAACTGCGAAACCCGCAGCTGCACTTTTTGTTTTCGCCATGATGTTCAATGAACAACCAATACCGACTGGCAGTTAGCTTTAAGTCCAAAAGTCATCACATATCATCAGTATTTATATTTCCTTCGGTTGCATGAAAAGCGTGAGTGAGACAGATATACGTGAGTTTATTGCAGTTTATAGAATCTTAATATTAATTACTTGCTATTTTGACGTACGAACGCTGATTACATCCGCAAAGCTTCCCAAGAGACCGAGAAAATGTAGGAAGTCTCACACCCTTTAATTATCTAATGCTTTTCTTTTATTTATATTTTTTTCTGAATCCACACCTTATGTGTTCCTTATTCTTACTCCTACACAAATTGTGCATTTTTCTTTTCTTCCTTACTGTCAGGTGCGCAATTAATACGAATTTGAAGCACAAGTGTAGTATGCGTAACTGGAAAAGAAAATATAAGGAAAAACACAAAGAAAACTCAGACACTGTTGACATTCAGAATGGATGTTTTATTTCGTTGACAAATCAAGCACTATGCTGAAATGAATCGTCATGTAGTATAGAACTGGCGATTCACTTGTACGATGAAACAAAAGAGGCCACGCACCATGCGTTAATTATCACAAGAAGTAGACAAATAGGCCACAAGCTTAAAACATCTATTTTTTTTTCCTTATTGTTTTGCTGAAGAGACAATGACCTAACAGACAAAATGGAAACCCCTCGGACATCGCTTAGCGTAGTGTTATTAACTTCGTCTTAATGGCGGCTTTGCGAGTGTACAGTTGCAAGCGTTCCCTCGAAGCAAACGTTCTTCAAACTGACCTCGAGCGTACAATATGTAGAGAGGGACAGAGGAAATATCATATCGACTGATATCAATCTGTTTTCATATTCAAGGAAATTATATTAAATTTGTATCTACTATGGAATACCAGTGTAAACTGGATAATTTCAGCTTTTCTTTCCGTTCCTTTGACATGTTGTCATTAGATGACCGTCTCTTTTGCATCAACGATTAATACTTCATCTGTGATAAGAATTTCATTATATTCTACAGTCTGGCTGATGTTCTTGTCTTGACCAGTCAGACTTCGCAATCGGCTCCTCGTGTAAGTGATTGTACTTTCTGCCATGCTTTGGAATATTTTCGGATCACAGGTAAAATACAGTTTAAATTCCTCCCTAAAATTCTCGTGGCAGATAGTGTAAGCAATAGGATTCGCAGCACTGTTTGCAAAGAGAATGATGTTGGTGAATGCAACCATGTCCCAAAATTTTGAGTAGCTTGCCCCGTTTCCAAAATCGAGCCAAAGCCACATAACGTTATTGGGTAACACACAAATCGCAAAGAGAAGGGTGACGACAATGAGCATGCGTACAACTTTGCGCGCCTCGTTTCTACGTGCGTTGTGTAAAACGGAGTTGACAGAGTATCTCCTCTTCACGTTAACACAAGTTCTTAGTTCAAGTCCGATTTTCAAGTATGCTATCGTGATCATACATAGAGGCAAGAGGTATTGCAGAGCGAACAAAGAAGCTGTGTATGCTTTCCTGTACTCGATTCCTGGCCAGTTTTCCTCGCAATAATTGGTTGTCTCGTTCAGATTTAACACCACCACATAAGGAACTGTTAAAAGGGCGCAGACAACCCAGGTGACCACAATGACGACGAAAGCATGCTTCTTAGTCATTTGTTTCCTGAGAGGATATACTATAGCCCAAAACCTATTCAGGCTCACAGCTGTCAGTGTAAATATGGAGCTAAACACAGCCATTGTCTGAATGGGGTACAGAAGTTTACACAGGACTTGCCCATACAGCCATTTGTGGTGATTCTCCTGCACAGGAATGTCAAAAGGGATGCAAATGCAGGTGATTGCTAAGTCTGAAGCCGCGAGGTTTAACACGAAGAAGTTTGTTACGGTTCGCATTCGTCGACGCCTCGCGATCACCACACAAACCAAGGTGTTGCCGATGACACTAATAAGGAAAATTATGGCATATAATGAGAGCTTGATTCCCTTGATGGCGGATGACTCGCCCGAAGTTTCTTCTGAGATGTTGACGTCTATAGAGGTCTCATTACTCGTGGACATATTGGTTACCATATCGGTGAGGGCTTTGAAATAAGGGCTACACTCAGGTTTAGTTAGTTATGTACCTCAACGAGACCGCTATTTGCCAAGTTGCTTCTCTCCAAGTCCGTCTTTCCGACAGAATCGTAGAGTTTGTGCTCTGGTGATCGAAATGTTCGATAACACAATGAAACCCCAACGCAATAACTGTTAAATCCAATCTGAACTTCTACAATACTGACGCCAAATGTGACCGAAAGACCCCTTCGTCGAACGCACCAGGGTTGTAAAGCTTCTGTAATTCAATGGTGAGAAGACAAAATACGAAATTAGAAAACTGTCTGATCTCGATTGGTTGTAAACATGACTTCGCACGTGTTTTCGAGAATCTTTCCTCAATACATTGACAGACAGAAGCTACTCATTAACAATGTCAAGGTCCTAGTTATTAATAATAAATTAAGACATCGAGACAATAACTCACGCAAACAAACTTAGACAAGAAAAGGAAAACATTCTACCCATGGCGAGAGAACCTACGTGCTTGAGTGAATTTCAATTAACCATAAGAGCGTCGCCACACAGCTGTGGGGGAAAAGATATCCATAATTTATTGACATAGCAATTATTTGATCATGTTTTAATAATGGCAAAAAAGTCGGAAAGTACGAGATCATTGTTATATTCGATGTCAAGGGTATTGGCAGAACAAAAGATAAGGCATTCAAATGAAAGTTGGAGGAAAACACACATACACTAAAACCTCATACTTTTCTGTAGCAAGGCAGATAAAAAATAAATATATAACATTATTGGAGAGGTCCTGAACCAAATTTATTAAGACTAGGAAACAACTATGCTTACACACGCATATTCAGTTGAAGTTTTGTTATGCGTTTACGAAGCTATTGTTTGAGAATTGTAAATTAATCTAAACTTAACAGATGTATAAAGACTTCTTTTCGTTACCAGATTGATTTATGCAAAAGTATGAAGCATGTCGTGGGTGCGATATGGATTTACGCTGAATGTTAAAAATGTACCACTCATGAAACAAGATTTCATAAAAATTTGAACATGGCCTTCATATGATAGACACATAAAAGTTTATTGAAGAGAAACACATTAATGCTTAGTACATAGGAAATTAAAGTCGAGAGCAAAATTAGACTGCAAAACTATAATGTCTTTCAGTTTATATAAGGCGGACGGAATATCTTCATCTACATGTATGGAGTCGTTCATTGCGATCACAAAACATTAGTTTGGTAGGGTAAGAGGATATCTCAGAGGGAAGAGTATCCGAGAATTTAACGAGGATATAAGGGCTACCACGGAGGTGTGAGTCATTGCAGTTTAAAGAAATGGCCTTAAAAAAGAAAACAACAACAATAACAAAGAAACGGGCACGTTTCCTGTTATATTTCCCAGATGTGCATACCGATACGTTGCTACTGCGTTGCAAGTAAACCAGAGCGAAGCCTATTCGATTATTTTAAGTAGAAAAATACATTTGAAGATGAGTTAATAGAATGAAAACCACAATGATACCAATAATTGCAATAATGATAATAATAACATTGATAAATACATATACTGATAACGATTAAAGTGGTTGGTGTAATGGAAAAATTTTAACAAACAAACTGTAGATCTCTCGTTATCAGTCATAGAGGTCTCATCTGAAATGACAACCACGTATCATCGACTTATCTGATTGGTATAGTATTTTACTAGCGACCATGTGTTGTATACCTTTTTGCTTTACGCAGGTTTTCCCTATTCTAAAGTTGTGCAGCCACCCTAATAGCTTATACACCTGAGATCGTAGAACCCTGTTATCAGCCGTATGATTTGTTCACCTGTAATTACTTGAGATGAATCTGTAGAATGACATGCGCATTTGGTTCTGGTGTTTTCCTAGATTGTTCGTTTGTTCATATTTTTGTTGCTGATGTTGTTGTTACTGATGTTGATGCTGCTGTTGCTGTTTTTTGTTATCAATAGGCGAATACTCTGCACGATTCTTGCTAAGAGACGCAAACGACTTATGGCGATCAACTCCGCTTGAAAACATGCGTCGTTAACTTTAAACCTCGGGAAGCTGTGGGTTTAACTGCTTGAAAGCCTACTTCAGTGATATTGATCCACGAAAATAATCCTCTAAGCGTGTTTCCTGATAGGTTTATGATAAGAAAGTTGAAATAAAAATAACCTTATTTATAATGTACTTTGTACGCATCATCTGATACTGAAGTCAATCTGATCCTTTTTATAAGCTTATGATTTACTGCCCCGTAAGTTTTAGCGCGAAAGCTGTATCGAGTTTCTCAAAAGTGTTAGCAAAGAAACGGAAGTACCCATTTTCTTTCCTAAAGGGAATTGGTGAAATTAAATTGAAAGAACATTTCCCGAGAGAGTTTTCTTGAAAGTCTTGTTATAACCTATTACAACGGGGAACGAAAACCACCAGGCGAATGTCGTCAACCAGAAATTATAATTCCATTAATTTGGAGGTCGACGCAATTCGGTTTTTCTGTTCGCGAATAAAGAATTTGTTTTTAGCACTTGCTGTTTACTTTCAAGAGAACTGGGTGAAAGCTCTAATTGTGAGCTGAGGTGACGAACACAATTTAGGTTAAAATGAAATATTATTGGAGATGAATTATTGGCTGAAGTATTGCACTTATCGAACCAAAAATATTTCAATTCCATAGGTTATGGGATTGAAATATTTGCGGTATCTATCTTGCGTACTTAGCACACACAAAACCGCCACGCAGTCAAATATGTATCTTTGGTTGACTGTCAAAAAGCTTAATAAACGCTACGCAAAAATCTGGGACCATTCGAAATTTAGTACCACAGTAAGGAAAGGCAAGACCAACCGAAAGGAAATCATTGTAAAAATATTTTTAGTTTACTCCAAACATCTTATGGAAAATCATGACATATATCAGGTGTATTTTAGAGTCACAACCATTAATGGACGGTCATTTCAAAACTAGCGATTTGTATGCCGTCATCGCAGTAATGTGATGATAGTATGTGAAAGAAAAGGCTAACATAACTTGTAAACCTTAGGATGTTTGTCGAGAAACTGTCCAATTAGACTCCGGTTTCCGCGTGTGGCAATGATCAGTAACATATACTGTGTACGTGATAGATTAAACATGTTTTTTTACGACCCTTAGAACCAAAAAGTCGTGTAAACTATCAAGATTAAAAGGGCGCTTCTCCACTGAGATTTAGTGGCAGGTTTGCGAAGTTCTTGGTCAATGAATTGCTGAGATTTCTTGTTAATGCATCGGTGTGGTGTGGACATCAGGATGTCTTGATTAAGGGTTAGGGTCTTAGTTGGATTAGTTACGAGATTCAAGTTTGGAGTGACACTAGCCAACAACGAGAACTAAACAAGCAACAGAATTTCCCCATTCATTTCGCAGCGAGAGTTTCATCACAAATAGTAGATATGGTAACCCTCCTCCCTGCTCTTGCCTCCTTTATCGTTTTCAAAGCTAATGAAACGGCAAAATTTTCAACAACTAGGTAGAAAATTATGAGGATAGAAATGGCCGGCCAGTTAGCCTATTCGAAAGGCTGGATCTTAACGACCTCTGCGACAAAGCCATACTTTTTCCAAGATGGAATCTATAAAAGGTGTTTGAGAAAAAGATGTAGATAGGAGCTGGAATGGATTTTAAATTGATAGACGCGATCAGAATGGGATACTCTATTGGGAATGAAAAGTGTTCTACTGACCAGTTTTGCATCGGAAAAAGTCTTCAGGACATCAGGACAAGGAAAATTAACCCTTTTTTTCATTTTTTGCGTTTTTATTTAATTATCATTTCCATTGTTTTTTGTAAAATGAAAGAGAGGTTGCAAACTTATACTCAATTCTTCAGAAGCCACAAATAGTTGAGCCTTTTATCTCAATAAGCTGCTTTCTAGAACTAGTCAATTGCGATATAATCAACAGATTTTATCGATAAACTTTAACCAATCAATTTATATCAGATCATGCTATCCAGACATCAGACAGGAAACTGTGATTTGTTATTTATTGGACGATATTGAAAATGCTGCGATTGACTTAGAAGAAATGCGGATAATTAGCAAAAGTATCGAGAAGAAAGCAGCGTTTAGCACCGAGGTCGACTCTGTTGACAAGACCCACGTTCACGGCATTGTTAGCATGATTTTGTCCTATTGTTTTCCAAGGGAAAAGTAAGATTTGTTTATCTACGCCGACAGCTGCCATAGTTCTTGTTCGAGCTACTATAATGGTCAAACCGGATAATGACCATTTGATGTGCCTCCGGTTAATTGGAAACAGTCGCTGTGCTTAATGATTTGAACCTGTTCGAATATTCAGTAAAAGCAGGTCAATAAAATTTCAGCCCAATAAAGATTCTATAGTACAGTTAAGATCTTGCCAAGGGCTAAACACTTGAGTTTAATACCAAGGAAATTCACGAGTATTTGTACTAAATCAGCGAAAATGCGACTGATAGCTTTAAGCAAACAAGAGAATGGTTTTGAAATTTTATGAATCCTGCGAAATTCAATTGATTAGACGGAACAAAACACCAGGACAAAATTTCTGGGAGTTGTATTATTCCCGAAGAATGCATCGGAGAATGCTTAAGTATGTGAAGTGACGCGAGATGTTTTAGTTTTACATTACTACTCCATTATTGCCTGACTTGGAAAAAAGGTTTGAGGCATGCAGGTTGAGAAATTCAAATTCTAGATTTGCAAGAATTGGTGTCATCATGCAGTTGTGCTGGCGAGCTGCATCGCAGCTCAATAAACCGGAATTGTGCGACTAATTGTAAATGTGCTTTTAACACTATTATGTCTGGTCTAGCTATTAAAATTCGAAAGCATCCACTCGCTCTTCACGAAATTACATTTTTCAGCTCCAAAGAAGTCTTTATCAGTACAACTTTGCCTTCAGTTCTAGCGCTTCAAAATCGTAACTTGTGATGTAAGATATTCGTCGTAAATCAACAATTTGCAATCGCGAGTTCAGACTGATTGAGAACTATCAACCAAACATAATAAATGATGATCGTCTCGAGACAAACAATTTTCAAGCCACTTACCGACATGAAAATTCCTTGCGAGGCTGGAAGCGAAATCGTATAACTTTAGTGTAGTTGGTTCTACTCTTTCGATGTAAACGTGCCTCTTATAGGTGTAATGGTTTGACGTGCTCAAACGTCGCACTCTCCATCAGTGTTTTTTAAAAACTGTGCTATACGATACCCCGGTCACGTTCTTTTGGTACGAGATCTCAGCTAGAGAGTAATTTTAACATGTAAACGCCTTTACTTCAGCGAGGAATGGAAGTGATCAGAAATTATTTTCATACTGCATATTTGTACCTTAAAAAGCGGTTTGAAGATGAATATTGTTTTGTCTTAACCTGTAATTTTATAGCATCCTAATTGGTTCAAAGTAAAAGCAGAATCACTCAAAATACTTTAAAAAACTGTATACAATTTGTTTTCCTTGAGTGTACCGATTGTAATTTATGTTTCTCGGACATGCTAATATAGCAGGGTTTTCCTTTTAAGTGACGAAACCGGCGAGAGTACAAGCACGCCGTGAAAAATGAAGTACCTTTCGAAAGTATCGTGTGAGTTCTTCATCTTAACTTTGACAACAATTCTGGGAGCAATTCATGATCATAGACGTTATATTTCACGTTCTTGAGCAATATTTAAACATGAACAAAATGACAAGAATTTTGGTTGACGAGATCTATTTACGAGTCATAGACAACTTCTCTCTGCAGTTCAACTCACCTTAACTATGTGCGGTGACTCTTGAAGGTCTCAATTCAGCAAAGATCGCACGAAAGATTTTTTTTTATTGTTTTCTTTCCGATTATACCTGCTAATTAATGAGAGGAAAGTAGATATTACTTAGTTCAAAACAGGAGGTACGTTCTTGAGCCAAACAAAGATATATTCATTAGCGGTATTTACTCAGGAGAAATATAAACAAGGGTTTGGTTAATCGGCTGAAGGATAATGAGCAATTGAAGAAAAACAAGGAATGACGAGGGTCAGACTTGAAGCACCACTGAAAAAATTCTCTTAATACCTGCCAACACCGGAAGTTACTATAATGAAAACTCTCATAAACTTGTTAGAAAGAGGTTTCCTGATCTCCTCGTCGTTTCGTGCATGATTTGAGAAAAACTTGACATTTCCGACAGGAAATACCGATCCATGTAGTCTTAAGGTTGATGGGCGCTAGTAAATATAGAGCAAATGGCTTTGAAGGAAAAATGTTTTGCAATTTCTATAGGCAAGTGCTTGGTGAGTTATCAAGACGAAGTTTAAGCGGCAGATTTAGAAAAGTCTTTTAGAGTAGAGACTTTCCGCTTGAAGTGGTCGAGTGTGAGATTTTCATTTGAGGAATCGCAAATTGCGACAGAATTCTATGGAAAATCAGGAATGACATGCATTCGTAAGTGTCGCACTGCTGATTCGCAAATGGGCCGATCAGTTGCATTGACGGAGTGGAAGGAAGTTTAGGAAGAATAATATGGTGGTGCAATAATCGCAAAACATGGAACTAGTTCTCACACAATATCACTCGAGCATAACGCAATCTCCCTCTGTTGATAGAAACGAATCAGGAGACGGCGACACAACGCACCCGAAACCTCTGGCCAACTTGGGGTCATTGTGACTACGTGATGGCGGGTTTTAGGAGACATTTAGAGATGGTTATCTGTTGCAGGCTATCTAGCTTGTTTCTCGAAGTCTTTCGTTTCACATTGGGTGGCAATCTTTGCAACTGGCATCGTTAATCGAAGGACAATGTTCCTTTCTTTCTATCTCATCGGGCTTGTGTGTGTAAGTGATAATTGCATGTATAACTTCCTGCCTCTCTTAACGGGTATCGAAGTGGTCTCTATCTTACCAATTCAAGCTGTTACAGAATGAAAATAGTAAATATAATTCGCTAAGTATGCCTTACTCAAGAGGTCGAACAGTGCGACATCGTTCAATCTGCATGAATACCAATTAGCGCTGGTGTTTTGTATAAAAGGAAAGCTGTGACATTTACCGCGTCGCTACAAAAAATGTTTTGATTGTTACTTTGATCGAGTTCGGTTACTTTTTGGTTTTCTAAGTGATTTCCTTTAAAAAATTGCCGTCAAAATGTTATTACGTTTGGGAGGAAAAAAAGGGCTGGTTGTCGAAAAAAAGGCCTACCTCTTTCAGGGCTTTGTTGAAGTAGGTTAGCATCTTCATTGGCAGAGCGGATGTCACCCTCTCGTTCCCGTGATGTTCATTCCTTAAATTATTTCTTTAGTTTGCGAAGCCCTTTCAGGGAAACTGAGCTTACGAGAACGTACTTTTAAAAGTAATTGGGAATCACTCGAAGCAGAATAGCAGAATTCGTGCTTCCCCGCGGGCCCATGATCAGATATCTTGTAGATATACAAAAGCAAACTGTACTGTTCGAGATATACAACTATTGTTATATTGAAGTGCTGTCCCTAACGTCCATAATTGCAATTCTTTGTCGTCCCATGAGAAGTCTGGGGAGCCAGAACGTCGAAGCTATTGACCGAACCAAACAAATAAAACAATCTCACTTTGTGCGCCTTTATTGTGTGAATCAGCTTGTGCCAATAAGCCCCGTGCATTCGCTGCGTAGATCATTGCAATGAAACAAAACTTGTACAACTCCTTTTTTTCTTTGTTCTTCATGACTTCTGTGGCACTAGCAAAAATCAACGACCTACACAGATGTTTAATACATTTTTCAGCCCAATTTTTTCAGAATCTTTAACTTACCAAGGCATGATTGCAGCTTTATCAGTGCTTTAAATGGGGTCTGGTGTATCTTTTTTAATAACAACGTCCCTTCTGAATCCGTTGTCATAAAATTAACTGAAAGCCTGTCGAAATTTGCTGCAGTGGTTTATTTTAGCTTTCATGGTCAACTAAAAACGCTTAAATATGGAATCCCGTCAGGTGTTCTCCTGAAGATGCAGCAATTAGCATGTGCTCTCGACTGATGTTAGAGAAATGTTTTTCTTGCCAGGATGATATTTTGATATACAATACTGCAGGTTCTTAACATCACTGACAATAAATTTTCAAGTCTCTTGAAAGAAGTGATCGAGATAAAAATAATCAATATCGCCTATTGTTTTCCCTGTAATGACTGGTGACATATGTTTTGCGATCTTGCTTCATGGAGTGATAATAATACGCTCTCATGTAGCCACGATAATCTCGCAATTGCCTAGTGTCGCTCATTTGGTGGCTCAAATCAATTTTCGAACGATTAAATAAAAAAAAAAAAAAGAGTATCATCGAAGCATGCTGGTTGAGATAAATGAAGCCTTAAAACACTCTACAAGAAAACATCACTGATTCTTTGCAAGAGCGACTTCGGAAAGACAGGTTTGAAAGTTATATAAGGTGAGGTAGAATGTCATAAGCCAATTTTCAAAACATCTAGTGATTATCAACATAATAGTGGCATCTCACATAACCTTCTTAAATCATGTAAAAATATAGCATTGGCGATGTTTATAATACACATTCGTTTCATTTAGCCGCCTTAGAATAGATTCACCGGTAAAGTAAGGCAACCTGGATTTCAGTTACTTTTACTTTAGCTCAGATAAATTTTTTAATAAATGACTGCAAAAAAAAGCATGTCAAATCTGCTAAGACGCCGGGAGAAAATACAGAAGAGCAGGAAATAATTTTCGTCAATTATAATGACCGAATGTAGTAAAGGTTCCGAGTAGCTGAAATTTGAAAGAGATCAATTACTTTCAGTAATATTCATCCTCCGAAAGAAAACTTGAGAATAATCAAATGAACATGCAGATCAGGAAAGACTTTGGTTGTCAAAGAATTTTAGAACATTGCATTCGGGGAATATTTTTTCTAGTCAACTCAGGGAGGAAAATACTGACCACGCACACAGAAACTTAATTTCTATCAAGGCCGTCATTAACTGCTCGTTATTAGCTTGTTACTGGCTCCAGTAGACAACACACGCAGTTCTCCTAAAACAATTAAGGCACCAGAAAACAAACGTTTAGGTCCCCCGGACTCCTATTCTTCGCTTTAATGGATTAAAATTATTTGTTTGAATGAGATGCTAAAGGTATCTCCCTCAGGCCATGCTGACAATTAGTGTTGTTTATAACAATTGGACGATGCAATTCCGGGTTGTGAAAATTGCCAATGAGACAAGGATTTTAAATATCGTTCGGCATCAAGGCTAATCAATATCTATGTTCCTTTACGGATACGGAAATGTTTTTATGCTTGGAAAAAAAATTAGTTGAGATTTTATTGAGTTCTAAATTTGATGAAAAATTAGCATGAAAGGACGAGTCTTCTTTTGGATAGAATTCTGAGCATGCTGATAAATCACCCTAGTATATACCTTACATATACACGAAATTATGACACAAAAGAAAACTGAGTGATATAAATGTAGTAAGCGATAAAATATGTCAAGAAATAAATAAAAACTGCTTTACAGTTTTCAACTGGTTTCCATGTATTTCAGCGTGATAGAACATCGCTCTTTGAAAGGCGACTTATCCGAGCTTTCATGTTTTCCACTCATTCATACAAGTATTGTGTATTAGCCCACCAACTGGTCTGACTGCTTTGCAGAAATAACTAATACAATCTTCCTACAGTGAACATTCAGCTTACGTTTTGAACGGTGTAGTAATGATACTCAGTTAGGGGTCCTACCTTTTATTTCTTCTCGTTGTGTGTGCAAGTTTTCTCAAAAGAAACGCACTACGACTAGGATCCTTCCAGAAAAAATGTTTGCTCTAACCTGAAGGAAGACAGAATGCCACTGTTCTATTATTCTTTACAGGTGGCACTGATAATTTTACGTCGTAAATTACTTAACGCACGTGCTTGTCACTTCGCTATGGTTACACGATGACAACTTTCTTTCAGTGTAAACAAATCCATTATCCACTTTGTTCTCTCAGCAGACATTTAAAGCCTCAGGGTTGAACAGTAATTTCAAGCAAAACAAATGGATAATGAATGAGGTATTTTTGGATAAATTAGAAAACAGAGAGAAGCAAAAGTGCGAGAACAAGAGCGCCGATAAAATTATTTCACCCACGCTTGCTTTGCGAGAAAAAAAAAATAAACGTGCATTGAGAAATAGATGCAAACTGAATTAAAGAAAAAAACAACCTCCGCACAATCTCCCGGACAATTATTTTTTACGCTCGACGAAAATAAAACTCGTAGATTTTTTTAATCTCCTGGCAATATTACTCAACCCTTGGTTTGAGCTACATATGGTTTAAGAATTGCTTTTAAGAAAATAGTCAATCGAAATAGATAGATAAATACGTTAGTTAGTAGAAAAAAAACAGCTGTATATGTATAAAGTAGCCAAAACATGACTCTTATTTAACAAACAGAGAAGCCTTGATTATGCTCTGTTCTGTTGTAAAGCACGCAGGAAGCGGCTAGAGCACGGCTACTTCTTGAGTGCTCTTGCCGCTTCCTAAGTGCTTTACAACAGAACAGAGCACAGTCAAGGCTTCTCTATTTTTTTTATAATACAGAATCCGTTAAATTCCCCAAGAATTACTTTCAATTTTCAAAACAAACTTTATTTCCAAAGCGAACAACAGTGTCGTCAGCATGCTCTATACTCTCATAAAGCACGCTACAACAAGCCAATCAGAATTCCTGTTAGAATGGTTCAAATAATCTGATTGGCTGCACAAGACTAAAGCTGTCAAAAATGTCAAACCATCAAAGTTCATATTCTGCAATATTTTACAAACTAAAATAATTCGGCATGTCGAATTTAACACTTTTGCCTGAATTTTTTTAGTTTCTAATACAGAATCTGAAAGTGAAATGTTCAGTGAAATTTTGCCCAATCGTGACTCACGAAAATACGCAAGTTATTTTACATGAAAAGAAGAAAATAAACTGTTCAAGGCGAATGTTTTATGAATGAACGACAAACGAATTCACCAGGACATGCGATGTTTCATCGCTCGGAATGACAGCGCCGTAAAACTCGGCTGCAGTGACTGATGTGGCCTTCCACACAAGGCATCGGAAAGGTTATCAGAGCAAGCTCTTATTTTTCTTATTTTGCTTTAATTGAATATATATTTATTTCTCGTTAACTGTGTCCTGTGACGTGGTATTATGTTATGAAACCAATGTGATATATTCTCGAATGACATTTTTGTCAGAATCATAAAACAGGAAAAATGATTTTCTTGATCAAGTTGCTAATTCCCGTTAAACGTACTAATAACGACAGAAACCAATCAAATCTCCAAATATAAAGTTCGCTACACAGAAGCTTTATCTAATTTTTAATGTGCAAATGATACGGCGCGAGCAATCAACGGTGAAAATTAATAGTGAACTGTGAAGAAAAACACTGTGGAAACAGAAGGCGCCTTTTCAGTTAACATCTGAAACGTGATTTACACCGACATATTGTGATAAAATTAGTTGCTCTGAAAATGTCCTTGTACACCAACGTTCTCTGGCGCTTGAATTAATTTTCAGTATTTTTTTCGTTATCGCCCTACCCACTGAAATAAGTGTTTGTTCCAGAAGCTTATTTGTGGGTATGTTTCTTCCTATAATTGTCTTGGTCTCTTGGAAGCTAAATTTTAAGTAGGCACAGCCTAATTTCGTTTTCCTCTGGCCGATTAAAAAATGCTAAAATCTTTGAGACAAACATACTCCGTGTGAGGAAGAATTTTGGCGGTAATACTTAATCATGTTTGTGTTTTATATATTACTTTTCAATTGAACAAATTGTTCGCTTAATATTCAGGTTTTAGATGAAATAGAAATGAAAATTATATCTTTGTTTACAAAATATAGAACTTCAAGAAAGTGTGAGTGAACTGTAAATTGTTAGTTTACTGTGTGTTAATTGCGATAATTATACTGTTCCTGTAGGATAATCATAGTTTTCAATCAGATTTTAAAACATAGACACGTTTCAAGGCGCTTTTTCAGCCTTGATTTCCTTAACGACCATTGGAAATTTTAAAATTACTTTAAGGTGATTTTTCTTTTCGGTCTTTTCAGCGACATCGGTCAATTTTTATGTACATATTCAAGACATACTATTATTAAAGATCATGATTAGTTTTAACATTCCTTGCTGATACACAATGTAAACATATAACTTCGTACATTTTTTCACCTCAAATCTTCTCTAATGCCAAACAAACCAGTGCAATAATTTGTGTGCTAACACAGAATATTTTTCAGAAATTTTCTTTTGGATGTTAATAACGACGGCGAAAGAGCCAAACAATTATAACTCTCGATAAGCATACTTCTACCTCCACCTGATCACAGTGAATTGATTGGTATACTTCCGTTTTTTTTTAATTTTTTTTTTTATACATTTTAAATTTTTAGGACATATAGCAACATAAACTCAATCCATAAATTTGGGTTTCAGCAAGAGATAAAATTGTGCTTGGATTTCTACCATTGCAGTCGGTTGTGAATAGCAACGATCAAGAAGTTAGTTATGAATAGGCAACGCTTTCTAAGTAAAGAAACGGCCTAACTTATGACGTCGTTCGAATAAACAGCAGTACTCCCCGAATTTTTTTCAAACATTTTCATGCAATAAAAATTGCAATTAAAATACCACACTTTTAGGAACGAGAAAGTGATAGATTGGTTGACAGAACAAACGATATTGGTCAGCTAGGATCAGACATAAATCCGTTGAAACAACTCCACGCAAAAAGAATGTTAAAAAAAAATGGCGAAATTTCACATTTTATGGAAAGTGCATGTTTTGTGCTGACTGGACGAGCCGACTTAATGAGAGATAAAAAAACGTTCTTGGCCGTTCAATTGAAATGGTCTGCTCAGGTGAACTTATCAAGTTCCAGCCTAATTACAGAAGTAAAACTAGGGGACGCTTTGTTTAAATTGTTCAAAGTTTTTTTAAAATCACATTGTGAAAATATTCTAAACTAGAAGCATACTTGGCATGGACTCTTGCAACAGAATACTTGACTATTCTCTCAAATATGCTGTTTCGTGATTCTGCTAAATTTATTTACAATATTCATATGAGTCAAAGACGATTATTGGCTGAACAAGATTATATTTTAATCGAATCGTTACGGATTAAAAATTGCGAAGTATTGAACTAATAGCATTTATGTTCGTGAGCTTCTGTATTTTCTCCATATTTGTTCCATTTTTATATGCCATTTTAACCCTCTTTTTCTCGACACATGCAAATGTCAAGGTCAAGCTCAAGATGGGCACTTACTCGTCTGATTATGGGTCAGTGACATAAAACTATTTAATTCCACTGAAGTAATCGATCCGAATGTTTTCTAATAAGCATATTTCTTGCTTATTTCTCATTTTTTGAGGAGAGAACGTGGAAGGCTATCTCAAGCTCTCTGCTATACATGTGTTTTTTTTATCCTCCGACTTTTCAGTCTGAGAATAACCTTTTTCCTAATATTACTTGTAGCTGCACATTGTCTATTTCAGGAATACATTAAGCATATTTTCAGACAATTTTAGAAAGGTTGTGTAATCCTCTCACAAGTATTTCATTGAAACACATACTTCTCAATCATGGAAATTAAAATAATATTGTTTCCAAGGGGAAGATCTTCTTTTACCATTCCTTAATAAAATTACAGAAACGTAGTTATCTATCAGGAAACGATCGCAGTATCAGTTTGGATAGTTGTGTTACACATCAGTTTCTCGAGTCTCTTTCAGTATCTGGTTTAGCTTGTTTGCCTTCGCCGATTGCCTCTGGGCTTGTATCAGTACTTCTGTGTAACTCAAGCAGGTCGTTTTTTGAGGCGAGGATATCGCCAGAATCGACTTATACATCTCTCGATCGCATGATAAGTAAAGCCGAAATTCATCTCTGAAGTTTTCGTTACAAAGAGTGTAGGCTATTGGGTTAGCTGCACTGTTGGCAAATAGTATAATGTTTGTCACGGCGACCAAATCCCAGAAATGTTCATACTCTGCTCCGTTTCCAAAATCCAGCCAGAGCCACATGAGATTATTCGGCAGAACGCAGACAGCGAAGAGAGTGGTGACTACGACCAACATGCGTACGACACGCCTCGCCTCTTTTTGACGTTGCGAGTCCACGAGGCCTCGGTCAGAATTAATCAAATTCGTTTTCTGAACGCATTTGCGCATCTCGTGCGCGATTTTAAGGTACGCGAAGGCTATAATCATCAGAGGAGTTACGTATTGAACAAGGAAAAGTGACAAGGTGTAAGCTCTCCGGTAATTGAAATTCTTAGGCCAGATTTCTTCGCAGCTCATTACATTTTCGTCAAGGCGCAACACTAAGATATAAGGAAGAGTGATCAATGTTGATAACACCCATACTGCGGAAATGATAGTTTTTGCACGTGGTTTGGTAAGCTGGCTTCGCAGCGGGTAGACAATCGCCCAAAACCGGTTAAGACTCACAGCCACTAAAGTAAGGATGGAAACAAGCGCAGCAATAGTTTGCAGAGGATACAAAAGCTTGCACATCAGAGAACCATAAATCCATCTGTAATTATTTTCTTGAACTGGTATGTCAAACGGAATGCAGACACAGGTTATTGCCAGGTCAGCCACTGCGAGGTTTAGTATGAAATAATTAGTGACAGTTCGCATTCGGCGTCTTTTTATGATAACAGAGCAGACGAGAGTATTCCCAGAGACGCTTAATAGGAAAATCAAGGCATAAAAGAAAAGTTTGATGACTTTAAACTCAAAGCTTTCGCTTGATGATGTAAACACTTGCGAGGGGTTACCAAAAGCATCCGATGAATTGTTATTGAGGCTGGAGTTCGCCATCATTTCTTGCACCAGTACTGCAACAATGTTTAGATAGGACGTAGACCTCCGATTTCACCGGTTAAGCATTTAATTCTAAGGGCTTCGAAACTTGTTCAATTCCAGATGAAATGGCCTTGGTTTTCTCAGCGCTGCGATTGACGTAAGGAATAACCATGCACACTGTGTTGGCAAACAAAACAAAGGAAACAGGATTAACTTATATAATCCTTCATCGCAAGTTTAAGGACAGAAATGACTTCCTTGTTGAAGGCATTAAGCGTTCCACAATAGGTTTGTTGATTAGCTTTGGCGTATGTTATGAGGTGTAGGCGTCATCACCTTGACGAAGGAATACAGAAAACGGCTAAATCTTGCAAAAAAATCTATATCGCAGATTGTGCTACAATCTTCTTTTCTTTTTTCCTCTTTCCTTTAAGAGTGACCTATAGGGTATCCATGGTATTTATCGATTAGTTCGGAAACGCCTTTCTTACATGATATATTTTTTCGGAAACAGCAACTTTAGTTATCACCATTACAGAAAAAGACAATAAACGCCTTTCAAACTTAAAATATATACATTAAGTTTATTTTTTAATTAAAGCTCATTTGTGTTCCATCTCTGGAGGCAAATAGGAAACACAAAACACAATACTACACGCCAGCGGCACTTGCGAATGAAGCACAGCGGCTACTCACGCCTGAAACATGTGCGTCTGTGCTGATTATTATGCAACAAACTCGTTCCATGACTCCTACAAAAGGCTGTTGGGACAGCTGAACCAAATTTTGTAAGATTGCTGCGATTTTTTGTCTGTTTTTTTTTTCACCTGCTGGTTTAAGTCCATTTGTCTTTCCACATACTGTAGATACATTTTTTCACATTGTTATGTAACTGGGGGCACTCACGGGCGGAACGTGAGGATCTGGGGCTTTCACTTTTAAGAAACAAATGCAATCATGAAAGTTGTACGTGTTGCATGTAAATAGCGTACGGCTGTTTATTGTTTTTTTCCTCTTTGGCTCGTTCATGGTCCATAGCTTTTGCGGAGCACATCCCTACCCTGAGAATTTTACATAAATATAGACACTGATCATGAATTGCTAAGCTTCGGCTCTTGTACAGAAACATTATGACCGACTTGATAAACTTAAAACAGTTTTGCCGCTTTTGTAGAGATGCAGTAATAAAGTTCTCGTCTGGAAGGATGTTTCCTTGCTTTTCCACCAAGTGGAAGTCAATGAATTTAAAGATGAAACAGAATACATATTTTTCAGAAAGAAACGCAGCGCATAGGGTCAAAATGACCATAGAACTGTACGTCAGGGCATAAAAATCCATCCCTTCGTAGCTTTAGTGTTAAGTTTCTAATTTCCTAAATCCCATTACTCTATCTATTGACATTAAGTCCACGTGCACTTACCTCAAAGCACACTTTTGTCGAACATTGCACGCGATCGCTGAAGCTTTGCACAATCTGCTTTGACATAACGACGTTTATTGTCATCTGACACCTCAATGGTAATTTATTTCTTAAAAAAAAAGAGGAACAGCAGCGCACCAGTCTCTTAGTCTGGAGATTAATCCTGTATCTTTTCCTTTTGTTTTTAAGCCAAGCTTTTTTTCTCACTGATGGAATATGCAGTTTACGTCATACTAATCGAATTATTACTTTTTCGTCTTTTTGTAAGTCGTAACTGGTCGTCTGTCTCAGTTTCAAGTGAGTAGCATAAATTGTCTTAATGGATGGAGATAGTCAGGTTGTAATTCCTGTCGTTGCAAAGATATTTTCACGGCAAATGGAGGAGTAAAATTTAAATATAAACATATGTATTCGTAGCGCGTGATACGCTTATGATGAACTTTTCCAAACGAGCACATAATCAAAACTGTCAGTTTACGAAGAGGAAGAGTTTTATTCCTTTATTTTCAAATCTTTTTATCTAAGTTCAAAGAATACGATGTCAGGCAAAAGCTGTATTATACTAATACAAAGTACAAAAATTCCTTTTGAATTCAAGTTATTTTTCTATAACTTTACCTTGCATTAAGACTTTCAAATCCCTGCAAAGTTTTTTCCCGTGCCATGAAAATGCGTGAACACCAAACGCATTTTAAGCACTTGAAATTCGATTGATTATATGCTTGCAAACGAATCGTTGAAAGTCTTATTACTTATATCTAAAAATAAAATTCTATTACCGATGAACAGTCTCGATACTTCGTGGTGATCCATATGAGGGAAAAAAGATCGTAATGGTCTTTGTCGTTTGGGCTGTAAGATGTTCATTGTACTGTTGGCAATTGCCCCATCTATTTATAGGTCAACCCTTTTGTCTTAGAGGAAAGACAGGCATGGGATCTTTGTCGCTTTTTCTTTCAATTTATCCATTATTCACTTTCATTTATCTTAGCAAGATAAAACAAAGTGTGGCGCAAAGAGCCTTGTAACAAGATTATCGATATAATTGTATTGAAATCGGTCCACGCGGGATGGCGCGTGAAGGAAAGTTCCGTCTAGACAATGTTATCATGCCCGGAAAATGTTCCAAACTAAAGCCGTTCTTTTTTTATTCAAATAGTGCCGTAGGCTGTTGCCCTTCTCTCCGTGGGTCACCTCTCTTGTCACTAAGCCAGGTGCGGTTAAAAGGTAGTTTGGATCGTGATATTTTCCAGAGATTGCATTTTAGATACCGGCTGTCAATCTACAATTCCTGAGAGCCATAATGGAATATTTTGATTAAATTTTTCCAACGATCATCAATGATCGTCAATGATCATCAATGATCAGTGGTGGGAAATTTTAATGGTTTGGCATTTGCGTTGGGTTTTACGGATACCTGATGTGAACAGAAGATTTCTAACTGTGCAAACGACTAATCTTCCCCCATATTTTATCTTTGACAAGTCTGATTGCCTCAATTCCGATCCACAATTACTAATATTCAAGGCAAACGACGTATTTTTTGTATTCCTTTTCGTACCAGATATATACATTATGAAGAATGCTTTCCACTCAAATTGATGCGTGATAACTAAATGCAATGATGACACAGATTTTGGCCACGACCATAACTGAGTCACTGGGAAAAATTTTCGGACGAAAATAATTTTAGGACAATTATATGGTGAGAAATAGCCATTCCTGGCTGCAATATGCTTCTAACTTATTTATGAATTACTCACCGACTTCCTCCAAGAGATAAATTCTTCAATTATATTAGAACAGAACAACTCAGGACTGGTTAGGAGACGTGAGATTGTTGACTGAACGTCCAACGTAGCCAAGGTAATGTTGCACTTTGAATTTGTTCTTCAAAGAGCCAAGTGATACTTGATCACGGATGGAACGTAGGCCACTACATTCGGCTATACAGGATATACTCTAAGGAAAGGCAAAAGGGCAGCGTTCTTGATGTTATCTATTATTTTACCGGCACAGCTAGATACACGCAGAAAAACGACAAATGAAAACAGTGCTTAATAATTTCACTTTTCAGCATTGCCAATTCTGTTTTGTCGGAATGATGTGGGAGATATCTAATTTTAGCCTTCAACCACAAGAGCAAATTAGCTCCACAGCCCGACGTTATGACATAGATTGCGAGGTGATAAGGGACATGCATTTTGCGGCTCGATCGAGTTTCTGATAATGCAGGCGTCGGCAATGAAAATAGTCTGCATTGTGTGTGTGCAAATAATTGTGATCTTGCACCTTAGCAGAATACGTATTTCATTGCGGGGATATACCCTGAAATTCTTCGAGTGTCGACTTCATTAGCCCAAAATTTGGAACGATTTGGTCAATGTGTTTTTATCAACTGGCTGAACGTGACAATGTCAGCGCAATTTCCACAAACAAATGTGCTCAGTTTGAAGTCGCTGATGGCGGGGTCATACATAGACGATCGCACACCGACGGCAAAAATCGTTCAGGGGAATTTCGGTTGCTTTAGAAACACTGAATTACAATACTTAACTTCCGAAAGCGTTCGTTAGGCAGAAATTCACTTGCAATACGCGTTGCTCATAAGAGAAGCTTTCCTTTTCTTCTTCTTCAAATATGTTTTGTATTGCTTTATCCATTTATATGTATATTTTTTAGGATCAACGCTAGCAACAATCTGAAAAATAAGATTTTCCTTATTTTCCTCGTCAGGGATAAATTAACATTGTGCACGTTTATTGTGCAAGAAAATTAAGGTCAGCTCGAGGTAGTTTTGATAAAAAAAAATTAGTGGATCTGAACGATTGCGAGATTCCAAGGAAAAACGCAGTACTCTTTTCAAATAGCGCTCCACTCGTTCCCGCCCGAATAAGTTCTTTTTTCATCCTTATGGTTGCAAAGATTGATATACAGGAGGAAAATAATAAATCGATATGTATACGATATATATTTATACACATTGTTTGTGATACACTGAGAGAAGAATCAGAAATCATTTTTTTTTTACTGAAAAGGATTAACGTGTCTGTGCTAAACGTGCCTGCATGTCCATGTTGCAATTGAAAGTAAATTATCGAGCTCTTTAAAGGTACTGGAACGTCTCCTGATATTAAAGTGGAAAGAAACTAGGATAGAGATTTCATCTGCGATGATGTTTCCCAAAGAATATTGAATACATCACTCATCCTGTTTATTAAAATTCCAACCCATATGGCCTTTTCTTTCTCTTTTTCTTTTTCCTTTTTTTTGCATCCCATGAACACCAGTAACACTTCTCTCTTAAACTTGGTTTTTAAAGATGTCATTCCGAAAATTTTCTAAATTTTCGTGAAGGCAAAGTTAATCAGTAAATCAAAGAAATGTAATTCATTGTCGGCAAATAGCGCTTCAAAGTTAGAAAATTGATCACGCTTTTTAAGTTTCTTAACAACAAGAGCGACGAAAATTAACCCAATGCATATTTCAAACAATAGGAAAATGAATATGAAAATCCTGAGTACTTTGTTTTGTACTTTTTCACCCGATGAATGATCTTCCCACAGAGGATGGCATAGTTCAATGAACTTACGGTTACCTAATTCGTACTTTTTTTCGTAAATTGGTTTTATAAATATGGGAACTGAAAGCTTTAAAGCAGACGCAATTATCAACTGAGAATCCTTTGCACGTGTCATCCTTTTGCCCTTATAACACATACTTCTCTACGTCGTTATCTGGCATCATGATCACCAAACGGTGTACGCCACTATAACTGATGTGAGTAGAATAACTGATTGGAACTGTCACGTTTTCGCATAATCAACACGAAAGTTCACAATTTTGCTGCTCTAAGGCTTGCTAAAACTTTATCAGTTTGGATCATATTATGCAGATTGAGTATTGTGCTTCGATTTCTATCACCATCTACTGCATATTTTGTATTATCTCGATGGAAACTTATTCCATGATTAAAACATTTGCAAGCGGAAAAAACAAACTTACAAATTCTTATGAGAAATATAGCTTTTTAGTGGAAAGTCTACGGCAAATAACCGCATCGCGTTTTGCATTGAATAATGATTTTAAGTGTTCTCTTATGGAAACCTTGATGATTTAAATAGAGCAAAATTGTCTGTTTCTTCCAGAATGAAAAAAAAAAATGTGAGCTTTGTCTTTTTAATAGACCCATGTTTTAAGGTTTACTTAGATGTGAGCAAGTATTAGTTCATTTGCCTCGCGTCAGGCTTTTTTCAACACACTTAGGAAAAAACACTAGGCTTTTCTTTTCTATGATTAATACAATCGCGATTTTTAATCATGAAAATGGCCTTTTTTCACTGCTTGCTTTAAAGCACAATATGCTGGTACTGAAGTTTTTGGGTTAGAATTAATTTTCACGTAGAATGCGTTTGATGTTGATGGGTACTGCATCGTTATACCAATATCGATGTTTATATCAAGTTTAGCGTAATTTTTTATCAGCGTAATGCTTTATTGATCTTCCATATCCTGAATCCTTATCAGCCAAAGCACCTTTCGGATCAATTGAATGCTACACATGTGGCTAGAGTTGGAATAATCGCTTCTCCTGCCAAATCCGCCGAAAGCCTGAGTGCATTCACTTTATGATAAAGTGATCCCACATTTTTCATGTACAAATGAAGCTGAAGCGATGATGCCATGATCTTGGAATGCAAGAAACGCTCGGCCGTCGACTTAACTGATCCTCATATTGTTCGTTATTAGTCAGGTATGTCACTCTGTAATTTCGTCGATGATGTAAGCGAAACAAGACTCATGTTAAAAAACTCCAAATATATTTTAACTCGAAAGGTGGGATCAAAAAGAACGATCACTCATATAACAGGGGCAACACGGAACACAAACTGATTATAATGAAATAAATTTTTTTATGAAAATAAAATAAAAGAAGAAGAAGAACGAATTAGTTTTAAGAAAATAATCGAAAAAAGGGAAAAAAAAGTACTGACGAATGCGAGTCATCAACTCAATTTTTCGCCTCAGGTCATTCGGCTTTTTGAATAGATGCCGACAATGTGCTGATCTTTGTTACCTTCAAATAATCGGAAGATATATTAAACATTAGAACTATCCTTCTTCCATCAACAACGTTTGTATTTAGGCGCGAAGGAAACTAACAATGCCAAATTTAGTCGAGTAAGCTAATTCCGTGTTGACCTTCGCGTTCAATTCACGAGGCAATTACAAATAAATAAAGCAATGATCTGCCTGAAACGATAAGAAAATTTCCCGCGCTTCTTGTGTTTTTGTTCCTATAAAAATAAAACCAAGGTCTTACTCCGTGAACAGTTTAGTGACTTTCAGTTTGTGGTTATGCTTTTAAATAGAGTTTAAAGAAGGGTATGCTCTACGCGCCAGAACTCATAATCTCAACAGATTTTAATATGATGACTACAAATTCATATTTAAACCTGATCTTTAAAGATTAAATTCAATTTTTTTATGCGTATGCATCAGGATATGAGGAAATTTTTCTCATGTACAAAATGAACGCTAAAAACAAATTTTTCTAGGGTACAATTGTCCTTTGATCGTGCAAACATTTCTACAATTTTGAAAAGCTACTCACATATTTTGCATTAAGACGTGTCTTGCATTATAAGTTGTGAGGTAAAAGCCAGTGTTTCTGTAGTAACTGGAGTAAGGGAGTCCCATCAACAAACCAAACAAACAATGCTTTCTTGTATTCATTAGTTTATTTAGTTATTTAGTCAAACATTCATTCATTTTTCTTGGAAACTTTTCAACCTAGTTGACGTCACGACCCCCAGTAGCGTATTCACCAGGCATCGCGTACATTGATTTCTCATGACTTGTAAATTACAAAGCGGTTTCAAGATAATTTCAATTAAATCATGATCAGTTTCAAGATAATTTGCAAAATAACTTGAACCACCGGGTTCCAACCACCACACTTGCTTTTGGCCCCGGTAAACGTTTCTGTCCGAAGGTTGAGAACATTTTCAAATTTGTGTCTGGAACTTTTAAACAGGTTCAATGCCTTCGTTTTATCTATAATTCAAGTTCAACTGAGACAGTTGAAATTATTCACTTCGTAGAGTGAGAGACCACCCAAGCTAAGGTGGCCCTGGACTATAATCTACTGTTCGTGAGATCGTACAAACCACTCAAATCGTCTAAGAGTCACCAAAACGTTTTTCTAAAGATAACCTTCCTTTTCTAAATTCTGATCCACAAACGTTTAATAATCCCGCGTGTTGTTCCTTACCCTCTTGAAGGAAATAAAGTTATAGGCTTGGCGGCGGGATGGCTAATAATAATAGTAAAGGAAATTGTTTCGAGATAAAATATAAAGTTAAAAAAGGAAACTATACCTAAGCCCATTTGAATTTAATCATCCTAGAGTTTGCATTTTCGGCCAACAGAACAAGATATGTTGTGTGAATACGTTTTGAGTTAATTAGATGGATCGGTGCAAAACTGAGTAGAATACAAGATAGAATCGTTTTAATATCATCTAGCAATCGGAAGCAATAGGACGTATAACAATAATCGAAGTAATACCTCAAAAGTGCTTTGCAAATTCAGAGTCGGCTCACTTCAAAGCGATTAAAAATTCTTTTTTCATTTTGCACATAAAAGTTTATGGATGTCATTAAATTTGTTAAATATAATTTCGATAGTTTTGAAGTTATTACCTTGGGAAAGGTGAATGATTCAACTTACTAGTAGTAAATAGTTAAAACGAAAACGTGACAAACGTGACTCATTTTCATTGACGAGAAGTTTCGTTGGCGAGTCAAACGTAATCCACCTACGTGTTACTGCGTTACGTGTTAGTCAATATTGTGAGTCAAGGAAGCAACATGTCACCTCTTTTGTTTGAGTTTAGGCGGTGTAAACGAGCTTAACACCCTTGATAAGGGGAGCATTTACATGCTAAGCCGCGTTCTCAACTCTGAACAATAAAAAGAGGATTCGCGCTTTCTGAAACGCTAAATTGGGAGTCAGTCTTCGCTCCATGAAGGTAAGGCGTTTTTGGTCGCTTAAAGTATTGTACAGAAAGAGCACGGGAAGAAATTTAACTCAATTAGCATGCGAATATCAATTAACACGCTGGCATGTTATTTCCTTATTGCCTTAGTTTATAATGCCGGGCAGCATAGTTTACTTGAAATATCAAATCTATTCTCATTGACACCTTTTGTCAAATAATCTTTGAAAATTGTTCTGCCTTCGACTAAGTGCGTGTCAGGTTAAAATCGAAGTTAGCAACCTTTGTGTGTGCCTTTTAACGTCGTGTTTATTTTTCCGCAAAAATAAAATTTGATTTATCAGTTTGTTAAAATAAGACATCTCATGGCACAATGATGTTAGTGAAAACAATTACCGCTTACCTAGAAGCAGGTTTAATGCCCTCTTCGCCGAAATAAACAAACAAAACAAAAAGCAACAACAAAAGAGCGTTGATGATAGTAATAGAATAAGAAATTCATTGTAGCATGAAATTTCCAGTTAAACTACTATTATAGAATATAATCGAGTACTCGTATTCCTCGTAAGAAAATTCAACATTTTTAAGAGTAACCATAAATGGAAGAGAAACTATTAAAAGGAAACGAAACTGACGATGGTAGGTAAAAGTGCCTGTAAGAGAAATAATAATGATTGTCACAATAGCAATAATCATAGCAATACTAAGAATAATATGGGAAATGAAATTAATAAATACGATTTTTCTAGCTCTTGCAAACGACAACATCAATCAAATAGGCCCGCCATACGCAACAATAGTGTTCTTCAAACTACAATCAAATTTTCACAAAAATGACTTGTACATCAGAAAGAGCGCCTTCCAGGTAAATAATTTCATAATTTATGTGTAAAATTTTTTACAGCTTCAAATTTTTGTGTGTGTGTTTTTTGTGTCTTCGTTTTTCTTCCTTTGAATAATTTACTTTAAAACAGTTTTTTATTAAATGGACACAACATTAGGGAATTATTCATCGAATCGAGAGCAGCAATGTTAGCTGACTGTAGGAAGATTTGAGGAAATATACTTTTGGAGACAAGAGCAGCAGAAAACGCGTATCCGATTGATAAGCATACCTCGGTACAAAATGTAATAATGGAAACGAGGTAATTGATCGAAGGGCCACAATTACAGTATTTACGGTTATAAAAAGCATTCTAAAGCTATAGGCGAACATATTTCTTTCACACCACAAACTCACCAGTCATAAACGAGATCAAAGATAGACCTTATTTTTTTGAAGTGTTAGGACGATGTCAATCATCTTTTCTTTATTTGCAGGTCAATAATCTGCGTCGTATTCCCTTGTTGTCTTTCAAATGTTTCAATTGCTTAAAGCATTCTAATTCCCCAAAAGGGACTAAATGTATTATTGTGCTTCACGCTGAAAATTACAACGTATTCTTGGAAGTAATATAAGCTTTTAAAAGGCTAATGTGAACCTTGCTTTTATTAGTTTCTCTCTGAGCGGCTTATTATTGCCTGGCAAAACAATATGTCGTTCAAAAAACAGAAATAAATAAGCCATTTATATAAAAATTCTTTTAAAAAGTATCCTCTTTCTGAAGCAAATTTAAGCGAATACAAATCAAATTAGGCTTATCTGACCTGAAACTGAGAAGAAGGCTTGCAATTCGATCTATCGTTTTGAAATTAGGAAACCGAAAACAATCCATGTACCGCCAAATCTTAATCTAAACAGCGGGTGTTCAAAAAATATATATTGCCAAGCTCTTTTTGTTTTGATACATTTTCTTGTTCATTTCGTATTCAAATTTGCTCCATGTTACATATCACACTAGTAATTGGTTTTAGTCGGCAGACGCGTTTTCATGTGTTTACGATCATGTTCCACCAATTTTATGTGGACAACTCTGAGTAATGACTTCAAATTCATACTTTTAGAATCTCAAAAACTGACATTTTGCGAAGGAAAACTTGTCTCCATAAACACATCAAGCAAATGTTTTACTAGATATTCTTTGACACGATCATTACTTTGCTTATGCAGCCAGTTTGACTATGACAGTTGTTTTATTTGAGGTAGCCAAAACTTCGGCAAACAAATGTGTCCAATTTCATGCATATTCTTGTTCAATACGCCGCTCTTTAAATTATACTTCTAATTTGCCAGACACATCATTTTGAAAGGGCAGTAAGGCGAATAACCTACATCTTGGATGGCGCTTTTTTTCAAGTAAGCAACTTTAATTTTGGGTAATTGTATTTACAATTATCATTTCAATCGGGTAACCGCGTTCAAAAGTAGACATCTAACTGTTATTCTCACGCAAGAATCGTACAGTGATTTGTATTTTATGTCCGCTATCATCTCGAGTTTCTAAGTAGGTTTTTGTGTGAGCTCGATTCCAATTGTTTTCTGACACTTTGAAATTTCCGTTCACGAGACGATTCTGGAAAGTGGGAATGATAGTCTATTGACAACGCGCACAATAAAGAAGATTGCGGAAATGATCCCTAATGCTAAGGAAATTCGAGAAGATTCTTGTGATGGGTAGTTATTCAATATTTAAATTATGATTCGAAATCCATTTTGGCTATGAGAGTTGACCCAACATTGAGAGAAAGGACCGTGGCGTCTGAAGAAACAAAGGACTTGTAGCATGCGTTCAATATATTTACTGTGTAATAAGCCAGCTTATATACTCAGCCAGCAATAATGTTACTCGGTGCACCTTCATTATGGAGAATATTTAATGGTTTCTAGAATAGTTAGCCATGAAGGATGGCTATAAGTTAAGTTTGCAAATCCTTCGATAATGAATAATAAATGATACTGGCTAAACCACTTAGTAAACAAATCATCTAACCTATTCACAATCTTAGAACGGGTAAGAACATTTCTTCTCCATGATAATGAAAAAAAAAAAAGAAAGAAAAGAGAAAAAAAAAAAAGATCCTTTTAGCGTGATCCACAATGACTTTCATGAAAACATTTTGTCCCACTATTTTGTGTTGGCTTAGGACCGGAAAGTCTCTTTTGGTTTATCGTCAGGCAAATTTTTAAGGTCGCACGAATCGATCTGCTCAACCCATCTGGGCTTTACGTTTCCCCTAGGGGAGAACAAACAATAAGAAAAGTTAAAGTGAATGTTACAGTTGACATGGCAAAATGAAAAATATGCAAAAAAACAGACCGTCTTAATCAAATTTTGTAACCTGTCACAGGTTGGATTTCATTCTTAAACAATATCTGAGTGCGAATGTCTCGACGCTCGGTCTCTCTCGTATATTTTGCTTAATAGTCGAAGTTAGAATTAAAAGTTGAACAAATTGCACTCCATTTCTGATGATAAAGCAAGAAAATATTGGCATGATGCTTTGATTAAGTTAAAAGAAGTCCTTCATTATATATTGTAAATAAATTTTTCAGTGTGTTTTATTACACTTGAAACAGCCTAAAAGAAAAGCTTCTTATTTCACCTACATTATTGATACAGATTTCAAGGTATATGGCAAATAACTGACGAAAAGTGCATGCTTTAACGAAATTTACTACGACTGACTAGCGATGTCCACCGGCGCAGTTAGCGGAGAGTTACAGACCTGCCATTAAATATGAAAATGACATCGGTCTAACACTCGTCTGTCTCAGCAGGTTCACTTTAAAACAACGATTCATAAATGCGTTATTGGTCAACTTTGTGTCATATCACACGGTATTATCTCTGATAGCTACTTCCCGTGTTTCCTCTGTTTTCACTCTTGATTCTATTTTTAGTTTTTTTTTTTTTATATGATTTCTTTGACGAACAGGAATTAGAATCGTTGCGGCTGGCGGCCCTGAGTTCGGGTTAGCTAAATTTCCCTGCACGTCAAAAAACCCAAATTTTTCTGGTTTGATATTTTTTGTTTTTTATTTTGTTTGTTTGATTATTTGCTTTATGATTTCGTTTTCTTTTGGTTGGTTTGTTTGTTTTCGCTCTATATTAGCGACAACTTAAAGATTTAGAGGGAATGTCATTTCGACCAGCAAGAAGAATTTGAGTAGAAAACCCTTTCATTTGTAAAGACAAACGAAAGGATTAATCAGAATAATGAAAATAAAAAGACAGAAAAACGAAAGAAAGGTTGGCAAGAGAAACACTATAGAAAATATATTTTTTCCAATAATACTTCGGCATTGAACTTTAAATTTTTAATAAGTTAATAGCTCTGTGTGGTTTTGTGTGGCGCCCAAAAAATTAAAGTAATTTATATACAGCAGGCCTCAAAAAGTGTGGCGTATCGTTGATACGATTTTTCTTCGACGCCGTAAAGAAATTGGGACTTTTAGCGGTAATCCATAGCTAAATCTTGGCTATAGTTTGATTACTTTGATGACTGATTAAGAAAATGCACTCGAGAATTAAATGTTTTAATGATATGAAAGTTTCCTATCGATATTGTTTACACTCCAGTGGTGAAGCAGTTACAACTGCACTTATGAAACATTTATTCGCCTTGCAGATCCTGGTGGTTGGTGATAAACAGCCAGAAGACATCTTAACTGAGGAAAAAAGATCGTCGGGTTTTCATGAAGATGACAAATTCAACTTCAAACAATTTGATTTTCAATCTCACGAAAGAAGGACTTGGTGGCATCTCGAGCAATGTCACTCAAGAGTCCAATGAAAGCCAAGTAAACATTTACTCAAAGGCCTTGAAGCTCGCTTTGTATACAATCATCTTTCTGGTCAGCGCTATTGGAAACATTCTTGTCTGCATCATCATATTCAGGAAGCGAAGGATGAAGACGGTCACAAATTATTTCATTCTCAATCTGGCTTTCGCCGATCTGACTCTCACGCTGATTTGCATCCCATTTGACATACCTGTTCAAGAGATGAATTACAGGTGGCCTTACGGGTCGTTCATGTGTGGTGTCCTTTATCCGCTTCAGACTATGTCCTTATTTGCATCAGTGTTCACACTAACAGCGGTTAGTCTGACTCGTTACTGGGCCATCCTGCACCCATTAAAACGTCAGCTTAGCACCACCAATGCTAAGTGTCTGATTGCAATTATTTGGCTGCTGGCCATAGTACCTGTCTCTCCTTACATAAATGTTCTGGGAATCGGCGAAACCGGGTCATGCGACGAAACCTGGAAAAACGTTCACAGCAGGAAGGTTTACACCGTGTTCCTCTTTGTTGCACAGTATGTTGTTCCTCTGAGCATTATCGCCGCAGCGTATGTAAGCATTGGTAGGGAGTTAGGTAGGAAGAAGTCGGACACAGAAAACAGATCCCTTCAACATGCCAAGAACGAAGAAGCAGCCAAAGTTACTCGCATGTTGGTTGCTGTAACGATTCTGTTCGCAGTTTGCGTTCTCCCCACCAATATCATGTGGTTATGGCTGGACTTTGGCAAAGCCGATGAGGAATTTCCAGAATTTTGGGAGCTGGTGGCATTTTGCAACATTCTAACTTTTGCTAACAGCGCTGCCAATCCAGTGTGCTACACCATAACAAACGCAAATTACCGAAAAGAAATCAAGTATCTTCTGAAAAGATGGTTCAACGGGCGAGAAGCAGGTTCGATAAGATCTGACCATACGAGAATGCTAGACGTTTCCAAAGACCAAAGTTTCAATCGAATGACAGTTGATACTTCAATGTAAAAACTCACACTTGTACTGGGATCCCTCGTTCAAGTGTTCATTTTTAAAAGCTGGGGCCAAACTGAAGACTCTATAATATTCCCCTCGTTGTAAGATTCACTCATTAATGCAATGTTTTTTTTTTGTCGGAACGTCAATTAAGAAAATTACTCTCTAGGCTCTTCTCTCCGTATCTCAACGGTTTTCAATGCCTACATTTTGCAACAAAAACCGGAATCCTATTTTTAATTATTTATTTATCTCTTTTTTTTTTCACTTCAGCCTGGCTAAGGTTACCGATGCTACATTTCGGGTTTTCAGTGCAAATTTACCTTATTTTAATTTTGCATGATAAGTGATTGCTTTTTTCCACCCGAATTCATGTCTTAGCAAGTTACCTACTAGATAAATCAGGACCAAGCAACCCTGGAGATTTCATTCCTGCTGGTATCACTAGTTTTAACAGGTAACCGGTCAAGTCGCCCAAAACCTGAGTCATGTTGCCCGAAATTTTAGTAATGTCGCCCGAAAAAAAAAGTCAAGTCGCCGGAAGAAACAAATGCTAAAAAGATCAGAATTTCAGACTGTCAATAGGCAATAACGTTGAGAAATTTTTTATCGCTAAAACGCTCTTTGTTTCCGACAACACCATGAAGATTCTTAAAGTGTTGTTCGTTCCTAACAACAAAGGGAAACTTTGTTCATTTCCAACAACAAAATGCAGCGTTGTTCGTTTGGTATGTAATCGTTTCTTACTCACGGACGTTTCGTTTCGGGAAGCGTTCTCCGTTTCTGCCAAAAAAATGAAGCGTTGTTTATTTGGTATGTACTCGTTTCTTCTCACGGACAATTCGAAAGTTTGGGGAACTCTTTTTTGTTTCTTAAAATGCCATGAAGACTTTGACTACACAGAAATCGATGGTATGGTCAGAATTGAAATATGTTTGAGTAATGACTCTAAAGCGTTGTTCGTTTCTAACAACAGAGGGAAGCGTTGTTCGTTTCTATAACAAAAAATGCACGGATGCAGCTTAACATACAAGTAAAGTTCTGTTGTGTCTACTTGTGACTTTCTTAACAATAACAGATGAAAACACCTGGTAAACGAACGTCGATTGTTACGGTAAAAGGTAAAGCGAGTAACATACAAATGCAACTAACTTGTTGCCTTGCGTAAGGTAGTGTGATATTTTTAAGATAACAGTCTCTTGTTTATGCTTGTGACTTTTTTCACAGAAGTAGTCTGATAGCATCATTTCCCACAGGATCAGAATAGGCAAAAATTATGTAGTTGCGCACTGTTTCCTCTGGCGGTATATATATTTTGGCGGTATGTATATTTTGGTATTTTTTGTATATTTTGTATTATTTATTTTATCTGGCGGTATGTATGTTTTGATCCAATCAAAGTATATATGAAGAGGGTAAAGCTAGCTAAAATACGAATACGAACTGATCAAAATGAGCATTCATCCTAGCATTGAGTGTAATGATGACGTTAGACGAAGTCAACAAGCCCTACAGTGCGACGATTACGGTCTATCATGTGGCCTTTCTGACCATATGATCGATTTCTGTGTAGTCAAAGTCTTCATGGCTTTGTTAGAAACCAAGAAAAAGTTTCTCAAGCTTACGAAATGTCCGTGAGTAAGAAACGAGTACATACCAAACGATCAACGCTTCATTTTTTTGTTAGAAACGGAGAACGCTTCCCTTTGTTGTTAGAAACGAACAACGCTTTTAGAATCGTTACTCAAACATATTTCAGTTCCGAGCATACAATCGATTTCTGTGTAGTCAAAGTCTTGAGTTCATGGTATTGTTAGAAACCAAGAAAAAGTTTCTCAAGCTTACGAAACGTCCGTGAGTAAGAAACGATTACATACCAAACGAACAACGCTGCATTTTGTTGTTGGAAATGAACAACGTTTCCCTTTGTTGTTAGGAACGAACAACACTTTAAGAATCTCCATGGTGTTGTCGCAAACAGAGAGCGCTTTAGTGATTAATATTTTTTCTCAACGTTATTGCCTATTAACAGTCTGAAATTCAGATCTTTTTAGTATTTGTTTCTTCGGGCGACTCGACTTTTTTTCGGGCGACATAACTAAAATTTCGGGAAACATGACTCAGGTTTCGGACGACATGACTTCGGGCGAGATGACTCTCGGGCGACTTGACTATAAACCGTTTTAACAAACTGCTCTCTACAATTAGAATAGTGAACGAATATCAGTAAGAGACATCTAGGAAGTACACAGTTGGTAAAGTATATAAAGTTACTTAAAAGAGACTTAATAAAGGTAATGAATAAGAAATGACTTGAAGAGAGATTTGCTGAGGAAAATTTATGAAAAACGCCTTGAGCGTTCGAAATCTTCGTATGGGACGAAGAACTTTTACAATCAAATGAACGACACAAATGGGGTGAATGTCAACCATTCACTTTGTTTAACCTAATACCAATAATAGTACTTTAGTTCGCTGACTCTACTGGCTGCAACATTAACAAACTATCTAGAAAACTTCTAAGCTAAGCTTGATTTTCTCATCGTGCATTGTGGGAGGCAGCATAAATTTTCTCTATGCTTTCAAGCCTATAAGACCTAAAATCGCAGAATCGACGGATCGGTGAATACTCACTCTATAACACTAAAAGACGAATATTCCTAATGTGGGCGAAATACTCTAAATTTCGGCTAGTACAATATCGCGGAAATGAACATATTGTGTAAAAATTCGACGTCAGCGGGCGACTCATATGTCTATAGAAGGTAAAAGATGGTAAATAGCCGTCTAAATGAGAGGCAGGGGCCATTCTTTATTTTTTTTTGTCCTAATTATTCGATTTACACATATGCAAGTAATGACCTTGCCTTGACCTCGGTATTAAGGACCGAACACTGTGACCGATTTTTGCAGGCTATTATTTACAGGTTACTCGATGGGCTGTGGGTCACTGAGAATTAATGAGAAAGAAATGCATCTAGACTGATTATGTCTCTGTGGATAGAGCTGCTGCAGTCAAGCCACAAATGGCGTTGCTCTTATTAATCATTTTATATATTAGAACGTTAGTTAAAAATGCATAGATCGAATGCAAAATAACGAAGTTGGAAGAGAATACAAAGACAATACGGGATATTTGCTAATATAACCTGGTTACCATAGAAGCTTGATAATTTATAATACTGATTCACTAATGAATTGGTAGACAAACAGGGTTATAACTCAACTGCATTATCCACGAGGCTAGTTACATTACCTACGTTCACTCGTTCGGATCTCTAGGCAAACCATATCATTCTTCGTCATTACCCTTTTAAGGTACAGTGACCCCTAGCTTTACTACTACTTTTTTTGCTTTTTTTGGTCAACATTCATGTCATCACATGGATCTGAAGTTATCGGTTATTGCGAGCTTGTAGGCGCCGTTTCATTGAGACGTCCAATCTCATTCCAAGAGAACTATTTTCTCAAAAAGTAAAATTGACCCAGTTTGGAGAATGTCATGATTCATTGCGAAAGGGCCCTCGATGTGTTGAGACACATGCTCTTTCCTTTTCGCCTCATCATCACCATTTGAGTTAGAACTAAAGTATATATTTATTCGAGAAATGGTTTCTTATGGTTTTTATGACTGAACTGAAAAGGTGTTTCTCACGCTGTTAGAACACATCGTGAGTGAGCTTACATGATCTTCATCACATTGAAATTGCTTCTCACAACGTCTTTTAAAATCGAGCTGGTTGTGAGGAGAGTAATTATAGGATTAATTGAACTCACCTTGAACATTCTGATCCTCTTGAAAGTTTTGCTTCTTCAGAAAGGCGTGGGTCGAAAGGACGCGAGTTATGGACAAAGATGGCAGGATTGGCTACGAAAAGCCTAAATCATTGAAGCACTTGCTAAATGATTTCTGTAGCTATACGACTGCTCATGGCCTTGGGCGGCTATCAGAGAGCAGCAATGTGATCAGTCGCTTGATATGGAGCTTATTTTGCATTGGGGCATCAACAATGTTTGTGCTGCAGGTGTATAACTTGTTTTCCATATACCTCAGCCATCCTGTCTCAACCACGATAAAAGTCGAACATGAAAGCGTAAGTGTTCTTGCCTCACTGAAAAATAGCGAACCATTTTGATTATTCAGGGAGATGCTTGGAAGCATATGCAAAAGAGGAAACAATGGCTGAAAAATTTATCGAATTCGAATTAATAAGGCCACGGTTGAAACGACAGTATTGAATAACTTTGCAGGTTATAGAGAATCATCTAAAAATCAGATAAGATGAAAACACAAGTAAAAATTAAAAAAAAAAAAAGCACAAACAACATTAAAGTAAACAAGCCATCAAAAAGATAATAAATAAGCATCAGTGAATTATAACAATTTTGTAATAAATAGATACCCCCTGCCCGCTAGTCAGCGATTATCCCTTACGGCGGCCATGCCGGGTGATAAAACATCTTTTTGTAGGGACTTTTATCATCTTTGATCTATATCTATCTAGTACCTAATTAAATATTTAATGATCGCCTGTTTTCAGAACGCTAAGTTTCCAGCAGTGACCATATGTAACATGAACATGCTTCGCTTTGATAAGCTTCCAGACAGCTACTTCGACGATATAATTGCAAGTATAAGCTCACAAGGTATGCACTAGGGCACTTATTATTTTTCTAAGGCTTAGTTTTTATGTATAGAACGAACACAAAGATTGTCTAAATTGACCTACTCTTAGACAGAATTAGGACCGTCCAAGCAATCATTTGTAAATGGCTCGAGAAACCTCAGCTTCAAGCAGGCGATCTATCTTCTGTGTCGTTACCGATTGTTTGGGCTTAGCCAGAATCGTCCTGATAGCTCGGATTATATTCGGGACGCTAGACCTAAGAGGAAAGAAGTCTAGAGGACCTTAGTCGCCCAGCCTTTTTGCTTTTTATAAACGATCCTTAACCCTCTCCCTGATGAGATTAAACGCGATCCAGGAAAACAGTCTCTAGAACACGAATTATAAGAAAAGTTACATAGAGACGGGAAAAAGCTCATAGGAAAAAAAACTACAGGCTTTTTTCATCCATATTCATGAATTTCCCCTTTATTTGATTCAAGTGAATGTATCAATACCGATTGAACAAAGCAACAACTCCTCTGATACTGCGGGCAACTCCACAGAAGATTCTTCTCTAGAGTCATCTGGATCCGGAGAAGAGTACAATGAGGATGACTTTTATGAAGGTGTTGCAGATGCTTATGATTCACTTGGCATCTCTGGGGAGGAAGCTAAAATGATCGACTATCTGATTGAAGAAGCCTTACTCGCCAAGATTGCACAAGAGAATCATTCAACACTGTTCAAATTAGGTCATCAATATGAAGATTTCGTGTTCGAGTGTTCTTTTAGAGGCTATGACTGCAGGTAATTCATTTATGGCCCGTTGTGTCCAGAGATTTATCAAAGTAGAGGATCTGACATGACTAGAGATGCATATGAAATCAACTTAAATTTCGTCCAAGACAGGAAACATTTTCACAACCTTTTTAGTTTCAATGCTCCCGGGTTAGTTTTTTCGAAATCGGCATGATTCATAAATTTGGATTGAAGCTAATCTCGTTTAATCAAGAAAGATGGCCAAGTTGCCCAAATATAATGTCTAATAAAAACTGGGAAGCTATACCCTGCCA